CGGGGGATCTTATAGATTAACTGGCACGTAGTCTTCCTGTAGTGGTGATCATGGCCAGCCGCGAATCGACGCCACGCTACGACTGGTGAGCAAACCTAGGTACACGTCTCAACCTCTGGTCGAATCTTCCAAAGAAGCTAATTGCGGTTAGTCTATTACTTATCTGGTCACGTCTGTTGCACATTTTCATAGTGATATTTTCAATATATAATATTCTGGCAACAACTTGAGATGACGGATAACGATAAGAATGGTATTAATATTATAGACTCCGATGTACGCGTACCGAATCATGGGCGTCTTTCATTCGCGTGACGATATATTCCATGCTTTATTCGAGAAATTCCCCCGATTAACTATTCTCCTCACTGACCCGGCTGCTTGGCACGGAAAGCATACGCACTATCGCCTACCACCCAGCATCAAATAGTTTAGTTGAACGGTTTCATCGCCAACTTAAAAGTGCTCTTAGAGCACACGAAAACAACAATTTGTACGAAACCTTACCGCTCGTCCTTTTAGGTATCAGAACGAGCTAAAAGGCAGATATTCAATGTTCCACCTCTGGACTTGTATACGGCACAACATTACGTCTGCCTGGAGAATTTTTCGCACCACGGAGCAGCAACGATCTTGGTTAATCAGACTACGTCCATCGACTTTCTGAATTTATGCGAACACTGCCTCCGGTGTCAACTCGAATACAACATCGACAGGTCACTCTCCGTCGAGAGTTATCTACCTGTTCACATGTTTTCATACGAGTAGATTCAGTACGCAAACCTTTGCAACAGCCTTACGAAGGACCTTTTCACGTGATTTCTCATCACGAAAAGACCTTCAAGGTTGATCAACATGGTCGCGTTGAGGTAGTCATCATTAGTCTTCTCAAACCATTACGCGTCTGTGACAGTGCCCTACCAGCTAACTTGAGACCCAATGCTAGACCTGTCAAACCTACTAGCGGAATCCTTACATCTACTTTAGTTCCCACGCTAGATACATAAGAGACCTCATTCTCACGTCCCGGTCAACAGCACGTGTCATCTGCACCATCCACAGACGAGACTTCAGTCTCACATCCAGATCAGCGGACCACGCCGCCCTTGACTTCGGGTGAGATTGCAGGCTCACGAAGTACGAACGAGACCACTGTCCCGCGTTCCGGTCGCCGAGTACGCCTACCCGTACGCCTTCGCGACTAACCGCACAATCAACAACGGATACAGTGTAGGACTATTCCTATACTGCATGCATGTTACACCTTCTCACTGTTTTTGTATCCCGAGCCCACGACTCCAACCATTGCCCGCTTGGTATCGTCGACTTCAGTCAAACTTGGCGAAAACTGGCCTGATCACCCACGCTTTTGTCAACACACTCAGTCGATGTTCTGGTTCCGAATACGTCTGGCATATGTTTGGTCTCGCACTTGGTTGCTATGGTCGCTTCTGGTCCCTTGGCTCAACGTGTTTTCGTCCTACGTCTGCAGCGTTTTCTGGTCCGCACCGCTACGAACGCAATACTCAGATCCTGGATGCGCTAAATCGAGCAATAACTGGTGGTCGAGAATAGATTCATATGAAGTTGGGGGCTTCTATAAACCACAACTTTATATCCCTCTGCAGTATCTGGGAATTTAATAGTGATGAAGGATGAAGTCACCCGTTCCATATCTGTTTTCGGTGGCATATCTCGAGGGGGCAGAAAAATGGTGTAGGAAAAAGAAAGGATGCGAAGCAGAGCAGACAATGTTCATGAGGGAATAGTAAGGTATGACTACTCGATCAAATTCTTTTTTATTGAGGTACTTGTTAAACAAAAGCATTCTAACATGTTATAGAAAATAAGTGTAGACAAGGTATGAGCGGAAAAACAACTGACAAACGGAGGCGTTTGAGAGAGAAGCTGAAAGTATGGGGTTATATGTAGTTATAAAATATAGTGCTGAAAACAGTATTCTGATACACAAATGGCTGCCTCCCTTTTTCGTCGAAGCTACTTGAACCTACTATTTTTCATAGATTTTCCAAGGTCTTGAGCAGGCTTCGTTTTAGCGAATTGTCTAGTTTGCTTGTAATAGGATTACTTGGTAGGAACAGAAACCAATTCAGCGTTTTAAATACGATTTAAAGAGTTATTTTGCATAATAAATCAGCACCTATACCAACGGTTCGTGACACTCCACCAGACCATAAGGAGCTATAATTGAGCAAAACGCTGTACCCTACAGATATGGATGGATTGAAGTTATATCCTAAACATCATGTTTGTTGGTCAGTAACACCACCCGCCCTCGTTTTGTGATGTTAGGCTCTCTTGCGTTTGTGGTATATATGAATACTGCTTTGATCGAAGGTCCTTGTTAGAACGCACTGTCTCTACTAGTTCCATGTTACAAACAAATCAGATGGCTAAAGCATTTGTATTATGGGTTAGACATCCATTCAATATATCTAACTGCTATGACGATAGTCAATGTTACAAGCTATAAGAAACTGGCCAGATTATATGTGGTTAAGAGGTGGTAAGAATAGATAGCAAGTCAAAGGATATGAAATAGCATAAGATTGTAAAATTTTCAGGGCAAGAAAAATAAAATATTGAGCGACTCACAAGAACTTAAGACATTATGATCTTCTTATGATCGGCCATGTTTGCTCAGCATCCATGAGATTATTGAGCTATCTGTCTACTTGTAATAGAAAAAATAAAAGACATGACACTTAGGAAGAATGATTTATCTTTAACCATTAGAGAGACCTGAAATCTGAAAGTGAGGGTTAGGAGCATAAGGGCATGACTAATAATCAATGAATAATGGGAAACGGTAAACTATGTTTTTCATAATTTGGTTATATTCATATTAATGACAATGGAGTCTGTTATATTCATGACTGGTCTAGATATTAGGCGGTCCACAATAAAATAACTTATTGGTGGGAGGAAGTTCAGGGAATAGTTGATGAAGCCCTTCAGAGTCTGGTAACAGGGTTATTAGTCTTTTGAACTTTATGATAGTGTCACAGTTACGGATAGACATTGGTAGTTTGTTCCACACTAAACAATACAGCACTGTAAAAAAAGTTACAACGCATTCGTTTTTGGTGTTTTTTTGCGGCAAGTAGTGCATATGTGTTGTTTCTTAGTCTATAGGCTAGTTCATGGATCATAGTTGGGCAGGAGGTTAGAAATGAGAGTCAATTTATTGCTTTGTAAAGAAATATTAGATCGTTCCTTAACCTACGGTGCCACAAAGGTTCTTAAGAGAGGTGTTTACATCTATCTGTGTAATGGAGAGTGGAGTCCCATCCTAGCAGTTGGCGCATGAAGCGTCTTTGAACATCTCCCACTTATATCTTGTCTGTGGTATTCATATTTGAGAAGATAAAAAAGCAATATTCGAGGGATGGTCGTATACATATTTTGTAAATGGAACCGTCTAGATTTAAAAATAATAGAGGAGGCATGTTCTTCAAAGTTTAGGCTTCCTGTGTAATTAATTTCTAGATGGTGTACTGACTTCAGTGTCTAGATTCTACTTTTATTTAAGTAGATTTGCAGTTCATAAGGATGCCTTTCCAAAATACATGATTCCGCACTTGTTGAGGTTAAATGGAAATCGCCATTTTTTTCTCTCCAGATAGTCAGGTTGTTGGGGTCATTATGAATTCAGGATAAATTTTCACTTAGAGCCTCAGGCTTATAGCTGTATACTACTTTCAGATCATCAGCATATAAGTATGGTATTCATACTTCGTTAATGCACTTCGTTCACGCAGTTGAGAAATTAGTTCTCGATAACATTCAGAGCATTATAAATAATTGAGCTTAAATACCTGGAGCTCACTAATCTTAACTGTGTGAACATTATCATGCTTGTATTCCAATAAAATGTGACGCCATAAAATTATTGTTGAAATTTTGAACAAGATTCGTTGATAATTGAGGGTAATACATCGAACATGAGGCGCACAAATCTAAATGTATTGAACAACTGAATACTTGGTTTCAGAAGAATGTGAGACTTAACCAGTCGTAGCCGAATCGAGCACCGCCTCTTGACAAGCAGCTATGAGTTTCATGAAAAAGTGAAATGATTTTATCAAAGATTTTAGCCCGATTCATCTCACTATTCGCTTCACTCAAGTCTTGAGGCGCATCTTCGATCACACTGTTAGAGTCTGCCTATTTAAGAGAGTATGATTTAGGACAATGATCGTTACCTCGACTCAAACACAAGGGTCGACCTATTTTTATAGGCTACAATATGAATCGTGAGAACCAATGGTAAAAAAAGTAAATGGTTTACAAAAGACACTTCAAATCTCTAGTCTCATATGTAACTGCGAAGTCAACCAATGATTTTCCTGACACAATAGTTGAAATAACGCCACATTATTATGTCAATCATATTCAGTAATAATAAATGATAGTTTCGTCATCTCACACGAACTCCGTTTTCTCGCATTCCAAAACAGAGAACTCAAGACAACACTGAAAATTTTTTTTCACAAGCTCAGAATCAATTACTTGTCAGTTAACCAACGATTTTACATTGTGTAGATGATTTGTGTGGAATGATTGGCGGTCAACTAACGTTGAAGTTATACCTTACGTTAGTACTTAACGTGGATTATCCACTCGTCGTATGTAAGTACTATGGCTATCAGCACAAACGACGTCATTACAGCAATATATTGGTAAGTGTAGGTTCAAGGAAGAGAGTGCAACCACCGCGCAGACCAGTCCATGACATGCAATTAGCAGACGCGCGTTCGTTGTCCTTGACCTTGACAAGGGTCGGTGAGCTGTACTGCACGAACTTGAATGATCAACGAATGAAAATCTTTACCTTAACTCGTGGTCGAATCTCAGTTTGTCCAAAATTTCAAAAGAAAGCTGAATCAAATAGATAGTTGACGCGGAACACCAGATCTGTGTTTTTAAAGCAACATATTGATTGTGTTCTACTGAGTCAATGTCACTGTAAAACCTTCACTTCGAAATGGCGCGATATTACGAAATGTCTGTCAGTGATTTATGATGTTCAAGTGTTTGCCAATCATAGGACCTTGTGGTCGACATATAGATCATATTGATCGACGTCATTCAAAGCTTGAACAAGTTCCAGATGATGTAATAAGAAATTTTCGTACTTTAGAAGAGTGTCGTTTAGATGCCAATCAAATCAAGGAATTACCAAAGGTATTTAAAACTACTTTTAACACAATCTTGCTTGAGATGGAATGGGTTCAATGATTTTTACTGTGGTTTGTTTCAGAACTTTTTCCGCCTGAAGCGCATTCGTCTCCTCACACTGAGTGACAATGAGTTAACACGCTTGCCAACTGGAATTGGCAGCTTCTCTAATCTTGTGGAGTTGGACATTAGTAGAAATGGTATGATTACGGCTAACCTTTCTTCATACGTCCAGATATATCTGAGCTTCCTGCTAGTATTCGGTTCTGTGATTCTTTACAGAGTTTGGATGTAAGCAATAATCCTTTGCAAAGGTGGGTTATCGAAAATTGAAATATGGTATACAAATATTCAGTTCGTAATTGTGACATGCAATAAATTTAAACGAATGTTGTGGTAATAATTTTTGCGGTTGGGTAAAAGTTTGGTTGTCTGGGTCGAAATGTAACTAACTGTATAGTTAGTTATATTTCTCATGCCACCTGTATTTCGTTCGAATGCTTCAACACCTTATATTTTCAGTGAAAGTTCAAATTATTTTCCATTTTCCAGTGTCAAAACTGAAGGTCTGAGTGTTGTGTGTAACCACATGTTCATATAAACGGTAATAAGTGGTACCTATTGCGGGATACTATATATTATTAATTTACTGTGCATAGAAATCGGATGTCTGTGCAGTTAACCGGTTCTTTTTTAGTTCCCTTCACTTTAAAACCTTGTAACTGAAAGTTTGTTATCCTACCTACTTTAAATTGTTTCGAATTACAAAGACAAGTATATGTATTGTATATTCATAAAAACAAATGGAATCAGTTGCTAGTGTTTTTCTCGGAAAAGAAACCATAGTACCTTCTTTTTTCAAAATAGGATGTGACTTTATGACCTGAGTTTATCATTTCATGTTGCTTTGAATTTTCCGACTATATTAACTCATCTATCCCACTCTACCAATTCCAGCTTACCTGCTGGTTTCTGCCAGTTGCGCAATCTTCGAGTTTTATGTCTTAATGATATTTCGATTGCTGAGCTTCCAGAAGAAATAGGCAGGTAGGTTCTTTTTTGTTTTTTAATCCTAAGTGAAATATCATATCAGTTTACTAATTATATAGTAACATCGTGCTACTTTATACATGTTTTTAAAGGCATCCTTTTTAATTACTTGAATAATCTAACTTAGAACTCGGCATAGTAGCAAATCAGTTCAAGTTTCTTCAGCAGCATAAAGAGAAATCTTAAAAGGGTGTCCAACATAGCACCTAACATACTAGGATGATATTGAAAGACGTGATACCTCTGTTGTGGAAGGACTTATTGATATAATATCAGTCTAATGAACTAAATTTAAGCGACTAATTGGTTTTTATTCATGGGACTGGGATTGTAAACTTAAATTATTCGGGTGATAATTTTCTGACTCGTAAATTATCCTGACCTTAGCAAAAATGTATGGTTATTGATTTGGTTTTACTTCAACTGCATTCCGTGAAAATCTGTAAGGAAATACCTAAAAGAATCACTTGTATGCGTAAGCTAACCGTGCCCAATTGGTTTGTTGCTGTTGGTCAAAATTTATTTGAATAGTTCTGACAAACGTCTAAGCCTGGAATGTTGAACGAAATCTCACAAATTCAAGTTTCTACACTTGAAACCAACTCTATAAAACCCAAATGATTCTGCAGAAAAAATAGATGGTCAATGAGGTGCTCAGGTTTTTTGAAGAAAAAACAAATTGGATGTAATTTATTATCCATTGTGGTTGATTTATTCACTACCTTTCGTATGTTCTTTATTCAGTGTTTTCACTTAGCCCGATGACCTGGGTGGATCTGCTACTTATAAATTTGAAAAAATCTTAGTGTCGTATAGTACAATTTGAATGCTATTAGAAGTAACAGATGAGAAATTCGATTGCATTGTTGTTCTTTAGATTTGAAACAATTCTATAAAAAATCACTTATGCCAACGATAAGGCTTTTTCTGTATTAACTAGATTAACTTACTACCCAAGCTCTACCAGTCAGTTATATTCAACATAAAGCCTAGCCTAAATGTGCGTTAATGTAAATGGTCATACTAAGCTTTATCAGTATACTAGTGTTTCAGAAAGTTTAAGCGTGATGAGCATTAGGTCTCGTTTACGTCTAAGTATGATAAAGATATTTTTTTCAGCATAGTTCACGTAGTATCTTTGGTTAATTCTCGTCCACCATCGGTTTTATGTCGTTGTTTGACAGCTGTAATATTAGGTAAACGTTTAGAAAGAAGCAATTGGTCGCACTAGAATCATTCAGCTTTGTATGGATGCCGACTGCTGTTGCTTGTAAGCAAGTTGTAATTGCCATCAAAGGGTGAGAATTGTATTTTCCTGATGAACATATCTAAATGACTTCAAATTTATTAAGACTAGTTGTGGTATAATACTTCTTTATTTTCGTTTAGTTTACAGTTACTAGAAAAATTAGAACTTCGTGATAATTGTCTCAAGTCAATACCAGATTCTTTCGCTGATCTTATTCATTTGGAGTTTCTTGATCTTGGTGCCAATGAGTTTCAAGAGTTGGTGAGTTTTTTCCCCACATTTTTTGTCATCTAAACAAATCGTATAATTATAAAATTTTTTGCTCATTTTAACACTTTCTATCTCATGAATGTGAAACATGTTAAGTTGTCACATGCTGATTACAAGGAAAACTACACTTAATCCTCTGCTTCAGATTAATTTCTGTGCCTTTTGACTTACCAATCAAACACACTACAATACAGAATTTAGTGGTAATAATAAGACCTAACTGCTGGAAAGTGATGTACACAAACTTATCCATTATGAACTTGTATTTAACAGGTATTAAGTGTGTGGTTTAGCCACCACCCCCACATCCACAATATCAACTAGCCTAGTTCACTTAACCATCCTTTGAACTGGTGAGTAAAAGGTAAGTATCATTTCCCAGGAACTACATTTATGTTATGTACACATATATCTCATTTTATTTTTCGTGGCTCTACAGAGTTTAGTTTCCTAAAAATTTACTTCTCACTTTTATTTAGTCTCCCGTAATTGGTCAGCTCTCTCGATTGAGCGAATTATGGATAGATGATAATGAATTGAGATCATTACCTGAAGTAAGATGTTATTTTAATAAAGTTTTCGTTTTTTTTATTAACGTACTAGTGGGAAACGTGATAGCTTTCGTGTCTGTAGAAAAACAAGTTATCTTTAAAATAAAATTATCTGATCGATCTAACTTAATATTCGAAGTTTGACAGTTAATAATTAATGTAAATTAACTGTACCAGTCACTCATGGTGTAAGTTAGTTTATTAAAGTTGCTCAGTTGCGATTATCCACTATTTTTTCCCTAAGCTCTGGACGTGTTATTATCTGATACTTTTCATTCTCTAATTTCATCCATTTATTTTGACTTATTTTTTATCAGTTTTAGCCTTTTGCTTTATTCTATTATCAGTTCCCTTCCATTATACCGCAGTAAGATATGGCGACTTAGTCTAATGATCATGTGCCTATCCGTTTGTGGCATGTATTTGTATCTGTTATCCAGTCTGTTGAGAAAATATTTAATTTATTAATTGTTTTTTGTGGGAATGGTTACTCTTCTATAAACAATTTATTTTTACCTTTTTGCGGTTTATATATATTTTGATTTCACCACCCACTAACTCCTATTATTCCCTACTCTTGGTTCTTACGAATTTTAATGTGGCTATCATTCAATTCGTGTGCTTGCGTTTTACTGTTGATTTCTCTGTTTTTGAGGGCATTGCATATAGATTTTTGTGTAGTAGCTATATGCATCCTGTATTTCATATACCATTCTGATTTATATATATTGGAGTTGTAGACAATAAGATTTATGAAGTATTAAGAATCCTATATTGGATACTTTTAGCGGCCTGGCTGAACACAATTTTATCTTGCAATTATGCTATTCCGTACTACCCCTCTTACAGTAATTTCTTGTCTTCTTTTTATAGTTCCTATCATATTTCTTATAATCACTGGTACTTTACTTTCTCGCTGTATTGTTTAGATGTGTGGCTAGTCTGAGCGATATACTCTTAGGTCACATGGTAATACATACAAGTCATTGCTTAACCTTATAATGTTACAAATGTGAGTGATCTTTCAATTCAGTATGTCGACCAATGGTTTCATTTTGTGCGTTTTTACATTCATGGCTGATTTGTTATGATGTTCGGTACTGGTTGCTCAAATAGTAGTAACTTCTGTTCACCTCATTGAGAATTGGTACCGTCTAAAATATCACATTTACCAGTTTTTCTACATAATTTAAAAACCCTTTTCAAATTACTTAAACGTCATGAGAATTTCTAAATTGGTTATATATTATTTCTACACCCATTACTTCATAATTCATAGTTTTTACTAGAATCTCTTGATTATTGTGATACTGTGTTGCCTGGAATAGCTTTATATAATTATATATATATATATATATCTTGAGTGCTGTTAAAGGTATGAGGGCGGTTATCACTTCCCGGTCGCCCACACCGTGGAAGGGTTCTTCTGGAGGTGCCTGAAAATGAAATTGGATTAGAGGTGGTCTTAGTGACCTGAGAGCGTGACCGCAGTGCCCAAGGGACAACTGCTTGTGGTCGGTCACACACGACCTTTTTATGGGTAATTTTTGTGTTAGCTCCGTACTTGTTGAGACCTTACCGCCGGAGACGGATATCCGTGGGATAAGGCGAAGTGTGCATTTTCAGGGTCGACCTTTTCTAACCCCACCCCTCCTTGTGGGAAGGCAGCATCGCTGTCATGCTGGTTGTCTGAAGGAAACACCTTACTGCTGTCACACCTCTGTACAGTCAGCAGTACGACTTCGCCTTCGGACCTTGGGTTTGTTGCTTTTAGTCTTACCGCTCTTCAACCGACCTGTCTGACATGGTAGGACCTTGAGCAACAGTTGTTCCAGCCAGTATAGCTCGGTTGCTTCATCACGATAGGCAAGCCCGACCACCACGTCAAGGTAGCAACAACGGTCGGGTTCTACGAACTAATTCTTTCTTCCTGTACTATATCCTTATTGCAATCTTTCTTTTATGTATTACCACCTCTGAATTAACTACTTTTATGAATCCGGTGTCCATCTTGTTATGTTAATGAGGTATGGCAACTTGGACCGATGCATAAATGTGCCTGGTCCTACGTTGTAACTGACTGACATATATATATATATATATATATATATATATATATTGATGTTTAGGACTGCGAATGATCCGTTCTTTTTGATATATGTGCACCCTGTGCGGATTGTCCTTGATATAGCCAGTAGGTTAAAGGGTTTTGTCTTAGTGTGCGTTAACCCAAAGTATTTTCGTTGCATCCGGAGTGAGTAGTTGTCATGATTTCGTATTTCTACCTAAGGCAGTGTGAGCTAAACTTTATTTGTTGGTGAAGGCATGATTTCGCCTCGAAATTAAAAACAATGAGATAGGCCACATTCCCAACTATAAACTAGAGAACTTTCCGAATTCCTGCAATTCATTTGGCCGTGTTTTTTATGGAATCGATCTTGACGTCTTCTGTAAGCTTCTGTAACCTCAAACTCATTAGTAACCAAATAAAGACTGGATTGTAAGGACAACTAGTCTTACACCGGATCTTCACCTTCTATGATACACGATTCAGCTGATGACCTGGAATATTCCGGAAAGTCTGTTGTTAAACGCTTTCTTCTTAGACCCTGAACATACTAATTAGATTTGCTGACTATGGATAAGATCTACCACGCATCCTTTTTTATCCGTATTAATCATTACAGATTAATTACTAATTTATTAGGTGCTTCATGGATGTGTAATTTCTATTTTAAGTTTATTTCAAATACATGGATAAAAGAATTTACATAATGCCAATTGTGTTTAAGTCGACTAGTACCAGAATAGAAGTAGTAAGTGTCAGCAGTAGTAAAAAAGATTATGCGCAGGCAATATATTTCGGGAGTAAAGAATGAATTTACTGAATAACTAGTGTAAGATTATTTTAGAACTCATGATCTGAGGGGAGACAGATAATGCATCTGGACCATTGTGACCGATTTTGAGCCATATCACCCACCACCTCCAACCATTAATTATACTGGTGGTGAGGGGAAGCTAAACATTTCTGTTTCTTGTATTATTTTGTCTCTTCACAGTTGTGTTATGCATACATTTCTTTTATATAAAACAAAGGACCAACCGTAGATTTTAATACATAAACGGTTCTGTTTCATTTATTTTCCCTTCGCTTCACATTACGTTTGTGTTTTGGTATATGAAAAAACCAAACTACAAGGAGTTGGGAAATCTTGGGAATTTGCAACAGTTGGATTTATCAGAAAACCTTATTTCTACTCTGCCTGAAAGCATCTCGGGATTAGTTTCACTGTCGGACTTAAATTTATCACAAAATAGCATAACACATTTACCAAATGGCTTAGGTAAGGAATTGTAATTTATGATTATTATTTTTATAAATAACCTGCACAGCTTTATCTTTACTGATCTCGTTAAATGTCAAACAGAATTAAATGAGTTTGTAGTCAACTAATTATTTTTTCCCAAAGACCCTTAGTTTGAGATTTTATCAGTAGACGTTTTCATCTTGATATCTGCTGTCAGATACCGGGCAAAAGTACTGATTATTCTAATTGATGTACAAGAAAATGAAGTGTTTTTATATTTTTCCTGAGAACATTTTTATATTTTTCTGATTTTTACAGCTTGGTCTGATGTTTAACTTCCAAAGATTTAACTAATGACGTTAGAGACGAGCTAATAATATCAATATTTGTGGATTTAAAGTAATCAAACTATTTGCATATTGTCATCAACATGAGAAAATATTCCAAAGTTCAGAAATACATTATTCCCGAATATTCCGACACTCATGTTAATTTCTCTATCTAATTTGTATATTACTTGTTCAATGGTCTGACTTAATACATAGTAAATGCTACTTGTTTAAATACTGAACTATAAGTCGCATAAACATTACATAAAGATATATTATATGTAACCGTTTAAATTTTCCCAAGTAATCAAACCCTCAGGCCATTCTTTCGAACTTGAGTACTTAAACTTAGATAAGTTTTAACCTAACTGAAATTATTTTTCACGGTTGAACAGCGAATCAAGAATATGGTTCATTGAAAAGATCTCTTTTTGATAATTCCATATGTATATATTTTCACAATGATAGTCTATAGTGGCAATGATTAATTACAGCGACAAAAGTTAACTACGAAAATTTTCACTCGTATTTAGTTGTTGAATCAAAGTTGAATTAAGAATTTTGTAGAAAGTAAATAGAAAATGATAATTATTGAATCTGTATACTCAGCATAGTGATATAAACATCGAAAATAAAATATATCAGAGATGATCACTCAAACAAAAGTAAATGGTTGGATTACAAATTCAATAAATTAATGAAGAGCAATGATGATCTGTAAAATCTAACAAATAAAGTGTAGACAAAACTTAATATTTAAAAGTTTTATACGTCCAGTTCATGGTAAGATAGGATGCCGGACAAGTTTATTTCGTATCCATAGTTCGAGCTTCTTTGTACATAATGAGAGTTTCAACAATAGCAAATAGATAGAAACATCGTTTTTAGTAGTCTTGTGTTCAAACTGTAAAGGACCTTGCAAACTGAACCTCTTCTAATTTCATGGTCGGTATTGACAAGCTATTCTATAACTACACTTCTTGTGCAGCCACTTTTACGTTTCTTTAACCATTCAGCGTACGTTTTCTAAACGCTCGTGAAATAAATGCTCACCGAACGACTAATATATACTGCCCTACAGGAACAGGTAAATTGACTAGCAGATATTGAAAGGGTTAACTGTTTATGATCTTCGTAAATATCTTTCCCAGGATTATTGCGAAGAATGTTCTTTTGAAGGCGTTTGCGATTATCCTCTCCAATATGTGTGTTACCTCTGTGGTCAACATTCATGTAGAGTACCTTCTACTCGGATTATCATATTGATAATAAAGTTTTATCTGATATATATATATATATATATATATATATATATATATATATATACCTGTTATCGTTATTTTCATTTTTAAGGTGATTTAGACAAGTTGATCATTTTAAAGCTCAACCAAAATCGACTGTTAACAGTAACACCAACTATAGGAAAGTAAGTTAAAAATTATTACATATTCAAAGTGAAAAGAATTGATTCTCAGTGTTGATCATTTGAAGTGTGTGACAATTTCTTTCTGTGAATTAGCTGCACCTTTTTTAATGATTTTATTGTACCGACATATTTGCTCTCACTCCGCATTTTAAATGTCAGTTTTCTTTCTGTGCTAAGCTCGGTGCATATTTGTGTCAGGTTTCAAGTTGATTTTATTTATTTATTTATTTTAACACATAGATATTGGCACAAGGAGGCACCAAATACATATGCGCCACACAGATCTCATTTGATATGTGTGAGGGCTGTAATACTGCCCGGGTGCCCAAACCGAAGCAGGTGGTTTTCTTAGGGGTCACACTTCCAGCCTTTGACCTATAGGTCTGATCCACAAGGCAGTGGAGCATCGTAAGGAGATGCAGTCCCATGGCATCTGGTGACCAACGATTGGTTCATACGCCATTTGTTCCTTCAGGATACTGGAGCCCATCTGCACCATTGGTTTCGAGTCAGGGTTTTCCAACCCCCGTAGGTGGACTCTCCATGTCCACCAACCCGGTTAAAGCGCCTGACATTCGCTTTTGTTTTCTTAATTTCGTAAACAACACCCTCGCCACGAGACGGTAGTGAGTAGGACTTCTCTGGTAGTGGTTGTATGCACGTGGCCATGTGAGAGGATTTCGAGAAGGAAAGCTGACTCTCCCCACTCTCGGCCGTACCAGGGCATTTGGGGGCATTGTCTTTGATAATATTATGTGCTATGTTTTCACATATCTGTTCACAAAATGAATTGATGTATTACAAATCAATGGCTTTTACATTTAGACGTGAAATACACTTCATCTGTTAATGCATTCGCCTTGACTAGACTTTACTGTCATCATGTGACTTTTGATCTGTTTCCCTATGATGCTAGATTGTTTTACGTTTTATCATCTTTGATCCTTTTTTAAATCCTTGTTTCTACTAAACTAACACTTTTTTGGCACATATATGCATGATTTCGTTAACACTTTACTTTTGTGCGTTAATTAGTTTAACTGTGTGATTTTTATCAGCATACTAGACAATATTGTTAGGAAAAATAGATTTAGAAACAAAATCAAATGTGAGAGTTTCCTTTTAAATCGGTTATTATCCTGACTCAATAATTTTATTTGTTGTTTTCACTACTTGTGCTAATCGTTGTTTGGATCTGCGTCTCACTGAGTTGTCCTGGTCAATGAATATATCTCATTAGGCCTACATTCGGTACCGCACACTGAAAAATTCTTTGAGGTATTGTTTTTTTCTACATAGTACTTCCACATTTTAAGAGTCAATTTTATTTCTGTAGCTACTCACTTAAAAGGAGAACGTGTCATAACGTTCATCCATTGATTGACCATTGTGAAGACTATGATGAAGCGTTTGAGTTTCCTATCTAATATGTCTTCTTCAGGTGTGGTATTTACGAGTAATTTTCTTGTTATTGTATAATCCTAGGTCCTTAAGGTTTGGATTTTTTATTGTTCGAATAAGTACCAAAAATACTTCATTTGTAGTGGATGTACTTTTTCATTTACTTCACAAAACTTTGACTATCGTGATAATGATGGATAATTCGCACACCCGCTTAGCTGGAACTCAATAAGTATGAGAAAGTTTTCTCACTAAACGAACCTATTACACGCTCATGTACTAAACTATGGGATACGTATATTTGTAGTAGCTATGATGACATTGCCCGACTGACTAAACTGACGTAATTGAGGTAACGCTTGATGTCGAAACGCATTGATGGAAATTCTCGTGCATAAACCACTAACCGTTGTGTAAAAGTTATATTTCTAAATTGCTCACCATGAGATAGATATTACTTTTGTTGTCGTAATGCATATCTTTCTATTTGACGAATTAAATGGCAATTTTATCATTTTGGTCATGTTCATCATTCAATATTAAATTTTATTTATAAAAAATACACCTTTCTTTTGTTAATTTCAGCTGTTCCAGTTTACAAGAATTATATTTAACTGAAAATTTTCTTTCTGTAAGTATTTATTAATAATCAGTGTACCTATGCTCAATATAACATTTTGTATATAGAAGATTATCTTCATAATATGTCTAATTAAAATCGTCTTGTGAAATTTTTTAAAACTTAATTGTAGCTTTGATCATAAACTGACATCAACTGGAAAATCATCTGAAAATCAGGTAGCATTGAACACTTGTTTCGTAATATTTTGAAGTCTCCTCAAGAGTACTCACTCATAATCTTCAATTTTTATGGTCTTAAGTCAAATTATAATACAATATTGTTTCTTTATAAAATAACTATGTTCAGGAAAAGAATCTTTTCCAACAAGTTCATTTTCAAAGCTGTACAATCGTATATATTATATATGATAAATTATAGATCAACAAATAATTAATCGTATATATGTTGGAGTTTAATTAGCTATTCTGTAAGATCTGACTACATAATTTTTTCCTAAACAAAATATTGAAGGAGAGAATTTGCAAAACATGAGAAATATATGATCAATAGAATAAAATTACGTAGCCATATTTCATATGGTAAACGAAATATACCCATTGAAATATAAAACACGAAAGATTGGTTCAACAAAGAGTTTTCTCAGCAAATTCATTTTCAAAGCTGTACAGTTGCAAATATATACCTATTCTTCAAAACGATAATAATTACAATGATAGTGATAAAATTCTGTTAAACATGGTAACAGTGAGATAGAATAAACAAGAGTACAAAAATGTCCTTTTTATTAAGGAAACTATTAGTAATTTTGTTTCTGGGATCTTAAATATTCATCATGAAGAAAAATAAGGAAATTATAATTGCGAAGAGAAGACTCAGTATGATAAAATGTTGAAATTGAGATGAACTATAATCAGAAAGATCATAGAAACCTAAATATATCAGTTGGGGGTTGAAGGTTAATTGAGAAGATGGATTTAAAAAAAGAAGAAATCACGAGAGATTATGACCATGGTAGAAGGAAAGGTTGTGCAGGTTTCGTCTGGACACATAATTCTAGTTTTTCCAAATGTATAGGTAGTGCTTCGGTAATGTTGAAAAGATGGAATATAGCTGTCTTTGGAAGCTTTCTACTTACCCTGTAGATGACTTTGAACAGCTTTGAAAATGAATTCGCGGAAAAGGGAACTCTTGGGTTAAGATAAATTATACTTTCGTCCTCAGTTTTGACCTTACTCTTGGTAACCAACCAAAGGAGGCAGGATATGTTATTTGCTCTTTTGTAATCTATGCTGGTCTCCATGTTTCGTTATCTCGTTTTCCTGACTTACATGAGGAATGTTAAGTTTTCTGCGACGAAAATATCACTCCATCATGCTACAGACGTGTCAACCATAGATCAGTCAGTTATGATATGGAAGAAAGATTGCAACCTAGCAAAAGATTTACCTCCAATTAATTCTATATTAGAAAATATTCTAAAATATCTACAATTGAGTAACTAAATCAATGAAAATCTAACAGCACTTGCTGACTTCCATTTACTTATATGACTTAAAAACGTGGAGTTTATCCCCAGCCTGACTCTTCGCTGAACCAATCATTCTTATTTAATATTTCCTAGAACTACCAGTCACATTCTAACAGATATGCAATTAATTATTCATTGACTTATAATATATACGATTGTATAGCTTTGGAAATGAGCTTGTTGGAAAGGATTCCTTTACTGAATTAAATTGTTGCATGGGTGTACTTCAATAAATATTATTTCTTTCTCTAAGAATTTTTTGTGTATCGATAAAAATATTATCAAGATAAAATTTCGGATTATTTCATTATTTTCATTTACTTGAACCAATCGAACAACATACACTCATGATGTGTAATGAATGAAAATATTTGTCACAGAAATTAATTTCATGAAGGCCGTAGGGAAAGAATTTTCTGACTTAAACGTATTATATTTTACTATCAACCAAAACTGGTTTATATTAACCTGTTAATCACACATTTTGATTATATATGTGTATATAACATGACAAACTTGTGTAGGTCAAACCGTTAGTCTCATGAGAATATTTGCAATTTATGTGCTGGAATTAAGTTACCATAACCTTACAGAAATAAATTATATCGATTCAGTTTTTATGACGGCGTTCTACATAAGATATGTTTTCTTAATGTAGGTATATGGTTGAAGTGTATTTGATGTTTTTCCCATGGTAGCTGGTTACAAAATAATTATTCTTTTAAATTAAAGTCATCATAATGATTATGTTCGCTTGTGACATCTAATAACTTGTTACTACCTGATAGTTCTAGGATTTTTCTTTCATTTCGATTATTTTTAAAATTTTCTTGAATACCTACCGTGTACACAAGTATGCTTCTTGGGTTTAAACAAATTTTCATCACCTGTAAATAGTTTACTATTTTCCATAATCGGCGAATTTATTAGGAAAGTTACAAAATCTTTATTGCTTGGTGTTTAGTGAAGTACTGATAATTGACTGAGCTTAGTTAGCTATATTGCATTAGTCATTTTTCAGTTACATTCTCTCTCTTTCTAATTGATCGATTTGCTTTTCATTTATGAGACCTATCCATTTCGTTACTACAGTGATTAGAATAATTCTTATGGATTTCCATCAATGTTACAGAGATTTTTATGTAGTGTGTGAATGTATATCTGCAACAAACTCGGCTGTCTTCCAATATATAACTTGAACAGATGACAGTTAAATTTAAAATAATATGAGTAGACTACGATTGTCTTTCAAATTTTTATTTCAATCTACTGGGCACTGCAAAATGTTTTGGTGATATGTGACAACGTTAAACTTACAGCCCTAACTAACAGAGATAACCTAGCTCATAAAGTTTGCATATGCTTGTAACTTACAGTATAGTGCACTTAGACGTAATTATTTATTGGTGTATATCATTATATCAATGTATTTCTATATTACTAAATGCGTTTCAGAAACTCCCGTCTTCTATTGGCAATTTAGTCTCCATGTTTCATCTGAATGTTGATCAAAATCAATTGACTGAGTTACCCTCTGAGGTAAGAAATTTTTAGCGTTTTGTTTTCTCACTACTGCTATTGATGTTGTCTGAATATTTTCCTTTTATAATGCATTTGCTTTCTCTTTTATTATTATGATTCCTATTTATTTCTTATTTCCATCGAATTCAGTTGCCTTTGATTCTGCTTTTATTAAGGGATTTCTTTACATAGGTCTCATGTGTCATCAGACTAAACATGTAAAAATAAGTATTAGAAGAAGTAAAAAAGTAATACATTTCCTAGACATTCTTTACCTAATATAGATAAAGCATGTCAAGACCGTATTGTCTGATGAATAGAGCTCTGGAGTGTTAGTCAATGGGTTCCATATTCTTATCCAGTCCAATGCATTAGAAAAAAGTTTAAAACATTTCAAACAAAATGCTATTTTAAAAACCTCGAAGATATTAATGCATCTTTGATTTATTATTATTGGTGAAATTGATTTGTATGTAAATTGCAACATGTGTATACAACAGAGCTGTTGATCAAATCCAGGATGTGCATTTCATTGCATTTAGGATTCGTTAGCTGGATGTATCACAACATCACAGCTCACACAAATCAAGTAACTTGTGTGGCACATATGTATGCGGTACCTCTTTGTACCAATATTTATGTGTTCACATAAATAAATAAATGTATTTGTAGCTATGAGGATGTTGACTGTGAACCCCAGACCCAATGCTATCGCTTCAAGCGCCAGAACATCTACTAGTTTATACAACTGTTTAACATTTCAGTTGATTTCTGAAGTTCACTATTTATTATCATTATCGTTAACTCATTAACCAGGCGTAGATTTGTATACCTGACTTTGAGCCACACTTTATGCATTAGGACTAGTGGTTATACTCGGTTGCCGAAATCGAAGCTGGTAGTGCGGGGCTCTAACCCTCGACTTAGTGGTTAAATGTCGAACGCCTTGAGCATTAACCTGTCGCTTGTGACTATTATTCACTATCATCGTCGACCGTATGTCGTCGCTTTCAATTTAGTTGACTTCATGTAGCATGACTTTTCAATGAAACTGGAGGAAGTTTATCTCGTCACTAGTTACTAATTATTAGTGATATTGATTCATAATGAGGTAAACTCTCATCAAATTAGTTGATTATCACTGCATTTAATTCCACTGAACTATCTTTTCTCATGAAATTACGTGAATCGTGTAACAAATAGTACCAAAAGTAGTGATGACAATGTAAATTTTAAATAAACACATTCTTTGTTATGTTTATGTAATATATGCTTCATGCAGATTGATTATAACCGATACTCGTTAACCTAATAACTTATCAAGTAATCAAATTTCTTTCTTTCTCTTTATATATATATATATATATATATATATATATATATATATATATATATATATATATCGTCGCATACCTTTTAAAATGTAGCATTTTTTCGAATATTATCTACTTAAAGCCAAGTTAAATAGGTCAATACATAATTGTATTTCGACAAAAATGCATATTAAACGTTCGTTAAAGAAATAGTAGTTACTATATAAACCTTAGCTTGCTTAGTTTGTTGGTTGTGTTATGCCGTTCACGATGCTTGACTTGGTGAACATTTAGAGCTGATGGTTCTGGGTGTTGTCCACACTCTATCAGGTTTCTCTATTCAAACAAATAATATGGGTAAATATGATATGATTATTCCTAGTCAGTTGTGTATCTAATTGATTTAGTTTTCCCAGTTGAAGTTTTACAACCATTTGTATTGACCGTTTGTGTTTCATATAACTATCGAAGTGTCAATGACTACCTGTTAACCACCTTCTGTGACCATAGATGGTATTGGAGCTCCTCTACTTTGATGACTCACTTGATCCTGATTGGTTGGAACGATTGTTCCTTGGAGTCAGGTTAGTTGGCAAATGAATCTGTGGTTGAGAAGCACAATATTTGATTATTATGTGGGTAGTATTTTTATGTCTTGAATACCCGTTGACAAATATCACTCGCCAAATCACCAATCAGAATCCTGGTTCTCATTAGGTCTATTATTTACTCTATAGTTTAGTATCTCTAAATTAGCCAACTACACGCTCGACCAGCACTACTGACTTTGAGCCGGCGGCTAGGTTCCTATTGGTTCATTATTCGAAAGCCCTTTCTTAAAGTCAAAAAGTCATCAATTAACTTCTAATATATATTTTAAACGGACGTGGTTTACATACGGGCATACCAGACGGTACCACACCATAAAATGAGAAATAACCATTGTACATGAACAAGCCAAAAGTGCTAGTGAACAGGGGGGACTGTGAGTAATAGACAGGCAATAAATTAGGAATAGCATATCTCACAACATTAGTTAATGAGTCAGCCGAAAGCTTATGATAAGTGGAATATATGTATATATTGATCTAGTTACTCAGTGATTATACAACAAAATTATAGTTAATGATTCAAAAAACCTGTTCCAATCTTTACAATATTCGTTCTGTCATAACAGTATTCACTATTTCTTTGCCTTGAAGTGTATTCGATACAAACTACGACCTTAGAATAACCAAATATAACAAATATATGTATTTCTTTTGTCTTACCACGTTTATTTTCGAGATAATAATTGATATTATAGTAGTTTTGTAATAAATGAAGTATTTAATTGGAAACAACTTCATACAATGATATTCTAATTGTTGATAATAATAGACTTGATTAGCCAAATTTGTCTCAAAATGAAATCATTTAGTAAGGATTTGTATTTATAAATTCTGACAATGCTTTATATGACATTTCCTCCAAGTTACTGAAATGCAATATAGGTTTACTGTTTAGCCTACTACTTTTCGCTGTATTTTTTCATGGTTGAAGCTTCACTAGAGCTAATCACCATTCCATCGATGTTATTCATAATGCAGGTGAGCATCTAGTAGTTATGCTTCGACAAGATATTATAATACTCTGATAATAAGGTCTTAACAATACATGAAATTATCTAAATTGTCTATAGTAACCAATGATTGAATGCGTTCAATTTTGCGGACTACTTTTGCTGTTAGTATAAAGTTCTACGCTTAGATGAGATGAGTTCCCGACCGTTGCCGCTACCTTCATATGGTGGTCAGGCTTGTCTATCGTGATAAACCAATTGGGTTATACTGGCTTGAACAATGGTTCCTTAATGTCCTGTCATGTCAGATAGGTTGGTTGAAGAGCATAAAAGGTTCTCAAATGCCCTGGTACGGCCGAGAGTGGGGAGAGTCAGCTTTCCTTCTCGAAATCCTCTCACATGGCCACGTGCATACAACCACTACCAGAGAAGTCCTACTCACTACCGTCTCGTGGCGAGGGTGTTGTTTACGAAATTAAGAAAACAAAAGCGAATGTCAGGCGCTTTAACCGGGTTGGTGGACATGGAGAGTCCACCTACGGGGGTTGGAAAACCCTGACTCGAAACCAATGGTGCAGATGGGCTCCAGTATCCTGAAGGAACAAATGGCGTATGAACCAATCGTTGGTCACCAGATGCCATGGGACTGCATCTCCTTACGATGCTCCACTGCCTTGTGGATCAGACCTATAGGTCAAAGGCTGGAAGTGTGACCCCTAAGAAAACCACCTGCTTCGGTTTGGGCACCCGGGCAGTATTACAGCCCTCACACATATCAAATGAGATCTGTGTGGCGCATATGTATTTGGTGCCTCCTTGTACCAATATTTATATGTTTAACTGATAATAATATGATTGAAGAGCGGTAAAACTAAAACCTAAGGTCCGAGGGCGAAGTCGTACTGCTGAATGTTCAGAAGTGTGATGGCAGTAAGGTGTTTCCCTCAGACGACGGGCATAACAGCTATCCTGTCTTTCCACAAAGGAAAGATTGGGTTAGAATAGGTTGACCCTAAAAATGCACACCTTACCTTATCCCACGAATGTCCGTCTTCGTCGGTACGGTCACCACAAGTACGGAGCTAACAAGAGAATTACCCACAAAAAGTTCGTGTATGACCGGCCTTAAGCAATTTTCTCTTGCGTACTGGGGTCACTCTCTCAGGTCACTAAGGCCACCTCTAATCCTATTTCCTTTTCAGGTATCTCGAGAAAAACCCGCCCACAGTACGGGAAGTGATAATCATCCTCATACCTCTAACAACATTCAACACTGGTTGATCTATCAAGTTAAAGTATATCATATACACTTATCTTTTCATTCTGCGTGCAATGAATTCCATAACTTTTATTTTCTTTATTTAAATTCAGACACGATTCAACTTGACCTGTAAAAGAAAGATCTTCAACCAATCTGTAATTTTACTACAAACAGAATTAACTTCTAGCAGTTAGATATTATTACATGTTACCTTAAATTGTCGATAATGTTTCGTATAGATGTTAGTTTCACTAAATGTATTTACTGTACACTACTCTCTCTCTCTCTCTCTCTCTGTATATATATATATATATATATATATATATATATATATGACCTAATTATTCATTCTATGCCACAAATTTCTTTGTATTGTATTCAGGAAGCAGATAGTAATTGTAATTGATTTTGTGTGTAGTACTATTAAATAGATTCAGTTGTATTGATAATAGTAGTGGTATTACTTGTAGCAATAATAGGTTTTTTTTGTTTTGTTGTTGTTGCTCTATCCAATTTGGTTTCCTTGTCCTACATAAAAGTGTCAGTGAACTGATTTAACTACACTAACAACCATAAATAAAGTGTGAATCTTTTATGTGAATGTTATAGTGCATACATTTTATTTATTTATTTATTCGTTGTAAACTATCCTACTGAACCAACAACTGGACGGACTGTACACAATAATACATGATGGTAATATATAACAATGACTTAGTGGTTAAGATATTCGACTTTCAACCCTCAAGCTCCAGGGTCGAACCCTTCTACACTTGTGTCAGTTTGAACAACCAACTAATATAATTATCCCTGACACTTAAAGTGTGGCTTATATTCAAGTAACTGGTAAGTGAGTTAATTAATATTCACTAATATTAGCCTAGTACAAACGATTTAGTTATTCAACTTGTCTGATTTTTTAAGTTTATTATATGGTGTATTCATTGAGTTTTTTTATTTTTATTGGTTTGTTCGTCTCTTTTGTCTCTTTGTTCCATATATTTTAATTCTACTTCACCTTTTTTTCTTCAAATTTTATAGATTGGTCAATGTGCATCACTTAATATTTTGTCTCTTCGAGAAAATAATTTGCATAGATTACCTAATGAAATTGGTAATTGTACACGTTTACGAGTTTTGGATGTTTCTGGGAATAGGTAGGTTTATATGTATTTTTCAACAATTGTTACAATGATAATATTGTCATATCTTCGAATATGCTAACTGTCCAGAAAGAGTGAGGTAAAACAAAGTACACCTGTCATTGACAAGCTTATACGTGTCGATGTGCACGCCAGAAGCTTTTGATACTTGGCTGAATTAACAGTTTTGCTATTCAGTTGCGTAACAATCAAAAATTTATTTCAAAATACATGAAATCCGTTCAAGGTTAACATACTATATACTTATCCACCCGTTTATAAAAACTTTTCGGATGAAACCTTGAATATAAATTTATTATTCATAATGAAATGGTTAGATTTAGACTGGTTATAACTACATATATTAAACGGTATACTTCATGTAATTCCACTGATTGGCCATAGACTTTAATCATAGTCTTCGTTTCCGTTAACATTAATTGGACCCGAATAAGATAGAACAAATAATCTAATACGAGCAATCTGATTCAAGTTACCACTTATTCCTTATCATAACATTTTCTTTAATTTATATTTGTGTACTCATTTAATTGTCATCCCTGAATTTAATTTTTCAACATAATCATTTCCTTACACGACGATGTTTCAGTCACTTTTTATATTCACGGCAAATGTATACCAAATCACATTCAGTAAAGGTCGATTAATATGTTAACTGTGCTTGATTTCTATCTTAGAGAGTATTCTTTCTTTTTAGTTTATGGTTGTATTTATTTATTGAAATAATTCTTATATTATTGAAATTACTTTCTAGACTTGATCGTTTACCGTTTAGTTTATCAAGATGCTCATTGACAGCTTTATGGCTTTCACAGAATCAATCTCAACCAGTTATTACGTTACAAAGAGATGTGGATCCTGTTACTCAAGAACAGTATCTCACATGTTATTTACTACCACAGGATCAACTAGACTCACGTGTTGAAACTGGTAAGGTTAAGCTTCTTTTTCAATGCCATTTATTAGATATTTTTGAATTTTGTTTTACTGTTTGTAGCACACTACAATACCATGTCATTTGGGTTCATTTTCCCAGTGATCGATAAACTCTAGTATTATTGAACATTAATTCATTTAAATAGTTTTAACTTTAATTATCTGTACCACCGTTTACACTTATCGTAGTTGTGGTATACATATATACTACTGTTTTAGTAAACACTTAAGTAGCGAATAGATTTCCTAGAAAAAATCTTTTGGTAAATCACAAATCATGATATGTATTTGGAGGCGAATACCCTGCAATCAGACTTCATTGATTTTGTGCATTCATTATAAATTTATATCTGAGTCCGTAAAGACTTGGCTGTCTACATTTCATCTGAACTACCTTCTAATACTTAGCCTTTATTATCACTTTGCGTAATGGAATTGCTTCTTAAATTTGTCCCATTTCGGGTTATCAATTGATTCCTCTCTCCACTAATAGATATGCGAACATACGCTTAAATAACACGACACCTTTCTCCGTGGATGAACATTTTTCCACTCAATCCTTACTAAATCAATTTGTATCAACTTAACGAAGAAAGGTGTTAGGACAGCACTAAACATGAGTTATATGACAAAAAATAGTTAAGTGAATTGTAATATCACTTGTAAATGAACTTGTTGTGGTCGTCATTCGATAGTATTCTTAAACTTCGTATGCTGTTCGTTCTGATAACCGTTACAAGATAACACCTCCAACGGTGTATAGATCAGAAGACGAGTACGAAGTGTTGATCGCGTTTATTATTGCATGACGCACAGATCACTAAATCCACAGGCACGCGAAACAAGAATGAAACGCTAATGCCGAAAAGCAAGTAAGTGAGAGAGTGTGCGAGGCAAAAATGAATAAGATTAAAATGTGCATATATATACATAGGGAAAAGAATGAGCCATCGAATCATTTAAGCTACTAACACTAAAGTTAACAGAATGAATATGTGCGTAGGCGGTAAGCAATGCTCAATCATACATATTCATACAAGCGCAAAGATATTCATGGTACAATGGTATGGATAAGTTGTTATTGTAAGAACGACTCTGTTCGTTAAATAAGTTGACAACAGGTCTTAACCGAATTAAATGTGAACAAACTCAAATGTACGTGAGCTGCTATAAACCATGTGAAGTGGTCATTACTTTGATGCTTTTGTCAAGGTTTTGTATTATTCAAAGGGAATTTTATTTGTAACCGACATTTAAGGTCTAGAGTCTCTAATTCACATTACTAAAATCCTAAATGAAAACGATATATAGTTATCTCTAGCACTGTGATTTTCAATAGTTTTATAGTCGATGACATTGCATTATGAAAAAAACAATCAACTCTCGTACTAGTTAGTAATTACTAGCTGTTTGTAATTCGAAAGTAGTTTTCATTAAAAATTATGTGTTTCAAGTTTAATGTATGGTGAAAATCCCTATCCTTGGATCAACTTAATCTTCAACAAAACAATTGTCAGTAGTTGCTCTACTTTCTCATGCTTTAATTTATAGTTGTGTTTCATTTTTGATTGGTAGATACGTAATATTGGTTATGAGATGCTACTCCTGTTTATATATGCAAATAATTGGTTCTCAGTTGCATACCGCTAATATTTTATACAAAAATTATAGATTATAGTAGGGACAGTTTGTTTGGTCACTAGATGACTTTTGGTCATTAGTTTTCTAGGTATGTTTTTCCCCAAGTATTTTTGAGTTGCGCAATCAATTAATGTTTCTAGATACTTCGAAAATGTAAGATATATGCATATACCCATATATATATATATAATCTCATTTTAGGACTTACCGTTAATAGAAATTATTTTTAAACGCATGAATTCGAGGATGACAAAATTGGTGGTTATTGTAGTTTGTTAGAAGGATTACTGAATGTATGTGTGTTGCGTTTAGGATTTTAGGATAAAGAAAGAAATTTGGTTCACATCTTAGAAAATGTATGGATCAACAGTAAGTTTAAAAAATTAATGGTAATTTACAGTTGATTGGTTACAGGGCCATTAACAAGTCAATTGTAAATATCTCAGTTCTCCAAGAGATCAGTTACTATCCTAATAGCTCAGTGGTAGTATTTCAGATTATTTCTCTGTATGATACGAATTCAAATCCTGCAGAGCATCAGTCCCCCACGATTGATTCCAAGTACTACATGTTTGTGACTGGGGTTTTGTATGAAATCTAGATCCAGTGTTTCCTATAGACCACCTCCAACCGCCTTACAATTGATGATAATAGATTTAGTGAGTCACATCTTGTTTAAGGTCTTACATTGTGACAAGTAAAAAAGAATAGTTATTCTTGTGATCCAGTGCTAGTTGTAGAGCTTGAAATGAGAATAGGGCTCTGGTATGCCTTATTAAAAGCAACTCTTGCATACTTTCTTGTTACTATATTAATGCATGCGGGTGTTTTTTCGACTTGGTGGTTTGCATTCATTACATGCGATAACTCGAGAAGATTGGCTAATTTAATTGTTCATTTTCCCAGTCACGTTAAGCATTTTTAATGAGACTAAGTTTTTCTGGTGTTTTCGGATGGGCAGTTAGATTTGTGAATGTAGACTAGATCATTTTGTTCTTGTTTGATTTTGCTTTGGATAACGCAGGGTATGTAATGTTGAAGTTCAGCAGTGTGTTATTTAAGGTAGTGTAGGTTATGAATCCATTTGTTTTCCATCTTTGAAAGCAAGTATGTCATCCCAACTGTTTACTACTTTTCAAAATTCTGAATATTAGTCGGTAATTTTGTTTTGGTTGCTCATTCTTCAACTACAATTTAGCAGCTGTAAAACTGCAATACATGTCAAAATGTCTTTCTACCTACTCTTAGTCTTGATTTTAATTCATACGATATTCGTAGTGAAATATCTTTACCAATATGGTTCTTGTATTAGGTAACATTATGGTCTAAATGATGTTTTTCATAGTACTCTTTATAATCTGCGTGTTTCACAAATTAAAAATATTTTTATCATTCATAAATAACACTTTAACAACATCTCATTATTTAAAGTAATTCGCTTTATCCATCCCAAATTGTTTTTGCTCAATTTTGAGAATTTCTTTACCATGATGAAGTACTCTAGATTGATCGTACTCTCTGCGAAGGGTAATAATGGGAATCAATAATTATTTCTTCATATTTAGCCGTAGTTAATAGCAATAGGGTTTAACACAGTGGTACAGTTTACCGAAAGTGTAACGATTTATCAATATAAAATCTAAAAATCTAATATATGTTTGATAAATTTAATTAAGTTTTATTTTAATCTATCTTCTGACTTTAATCCTTAATAATACTGCTAAAAGTTAGATGACCTGTCGTGATCTTCGCGATTAGTTGTACTGCGTAAATCCAATCTCTTTAAATATATCAATAATACTGTGTATTTATGTAAAGATTTCCAGCTGTTCAGGACTCGATGCAAAAATTGAGTTTCTAGACATAAACCATTTAGTCGTGATATTTCTGACTCGTCTGAGAATATCTTCTAACATGATAAAACAAATACAATATATGAATAACTGACTCACTACCCAGTATATATGGTAAACTGACAAAGACTAAATACAAGATGTGTCACCAGTAGTTTAAATATTGAAAGTAGACACGTACTTCCTGTTTGAATTTCATATACTACTTTAAACTGTGATTGTAAGCATTTAGAAGTGTAGCTCGAAATCGACTGTACTCAAGGAAGTACATTCAGTTTTTTCCCATCTTATCGGATTTCTGAACACTATGATAGGGTCTCTCACACAACCTCCGCCTTAAATCAGTGTCGAGTAAAATATTGTAAATGTATCCCTTACCCAAATGCTAGAAAGCTATGCTTAATGTTCACAAAATCTGAAACGTTTAACAGCCCCATCTTTATTGTTAGCTGTTGTTCTGAGGTCATTGCTTACTATAATTTTTAAATTTTTATATTCATTAATTTTATGTTATGACATTTCAGTCATTTATATCACTAAACATTTGAGTTTTTTCGTAAGAATTTCAATTCCCAATTTTCCTCCGTTTTCTTTTGTGTTCTCTTATAGATCCAACTATGTCGCCATCCGAATTAGATAGCTTTTCTGCTTCATTAAACGCCAACACTAAAACAAACCATGATTTACTTGACAATATCAGTGCTGAAATAAATCATACCTATGAGCCTGCAGATATGCATATATCAATTCCTCAGTCAGATCTTTCAAAAAATCGAAGTATTTCACCATCGAAACATGAATTGACTAAACCATCGACTTCACCATCATCAACACTGAATGATAATTCAGCAATAACAAATGATCCTAGTTCATTAAACAATCATCATTCAATTAATTCTACAACTGATCCAACAAAAAATTTACCATATTCAAATTCATCTATTAATTCACCGTCAAATGTAAATGGTAATTTAGATTCATCCTATACATCACCAAATCATATAAATAATCTTTCTACCTCATCTGCACATTCATCTCTATCTATGCAAACATCTGCATCAACTCGTGTTCATTTCTCTGGTTCAGATAAACCTGATGAGATGGTAATATATTAATATTGTTCTTTATTATTAATTCTAATCTTTCATGTCTTATATGATTTTCTCTTGAATTACTTTCATTATTTCATGATAAATATATTTTGTGTATCCTCTCTGTGTATACACGTTTGTCTACTCATTTCTCTACTCTATATGTGTACTTGTGTTATGATTATGTAAAGCATTATATTTACATAGTTTTTTAACCATAACTTTTCACTCCATTATTCATAACGATAAGTAGCTTTTTTGTCTCGGAAAACAATAAACCATAAACTTATTCTTTCCTCTTGATGCTTACTTAATATGTATTGAAGTGCCTTTGAATTGTGAGAGAAGTATTGAATTGCTTCAAGACAAACGTCTACTGATAGATACTATGCGAAAGAATCTGAACAAGTCAATTTACTTCACAGTGTTCATTAATTCGTTTAACAATTATCAACTGATAACTAGATCTCAGTTCAATTAAAGCAGTTGATGTACCGTTGATAACTGCCTGTTTTCATTCTTTAAAGCTTCTATTGAGTTGAAGAATGACTGTATATTTTATCTACATACAAGCTGGCAAGTATATGCATATTTAGGTTTGTTGGATTGATTATACACTCTACCTAGTGCTCTCTACTCTGGATCAAACATAGTCCATGTAGATAAAATATAGCGTGATAGTAGTTATCTTTCCAGATATAATATAGTAGTATAGTTTCCTCCTGTATATCAATGCTGTCTCCAGTCATGTTCATCTACAAATATATTCTATTTATCCTCACTACCTTTCTTGTTAATTCAATGATACACATTTTAAATGTGCAAATCTTTCTGAATAGTGTGATAACTTTGTCTTTTCACTGTTAGAAGAATCCATGTTTTTAAAAACGAAAATCTTTTTTCTACAAAACAACAGTTCAACTTCAAACAATTTTGCATTACTGTTTTTCTTACCGTGTCACAAATAACTGCATCTTCAGTAATGATATAATTATGTCGCTTTAGTTTACTCAACGTCCAACCTTGTATTTATGGTAATATTGTTTACTTACATCCGTATCTAAATCCTAAGCGCCAATGCAAACCTGCTGTAGGAAATAGTTTTCTCTTTGTTCACGGTTTAGTTAATACTTGAAATCTGTTTTTATTGAATTTACTTCATTCATTTCCATATTTTTATTGCTCCATCTATTATTATTATTATTATTATTATTATTATTATTATTATTATTATTATTATTATCAACAGGATAAATCAGGTTCCAAAGGTTTTCCAAAAACACGTCATCCCCGTTCCGGTAAAAAAGCTACGGATAATCATCTTATTAGTGGTAAAGATGATTCCAGTCAATGCAGAAGTGTAAGTTCCTTTTGTTAATTATTTAAATTTTTATACAGTTCTTTAGGAGTGCACAGGTTACCGTAAAAGAAACTATTCGTCTTACAAAAAGTGTTGTTCATGTATGTAGATTAGTTAATTTTGCCTACCGCTGTATGTTATTTTCGGTTAGTTTTGAAAATGGCATAAATAACATTAAAATATGTAGTATTTTTGGATAGTTCTTACCACTTTGTTTCTTCTCACTGTTATTATATCATTAAAATAATCGTCGATTTTATTTGATTCAAGTATCGACTTCAATGAATACATCTCCATATGAAAAATATGTTACATCTAATTCACTATAAATGAAATGAGTATATTTCATTGGAATAATAAAATTTAGTGAGTAAAAACCCGAAAATATTTATCATTTCATAATGTTGAGGACAAAGTATCAATTAGAACCTCACTATCTGTCATTTTTTCACTATCAAGCGTACGTGAATTAGTGGAATTTATTCTTGATGAATCCAGATGACTTTTTATTCAATTTCACTTTCATGTAGATATCAGTTGTTGCTGAATCCCAGCTTGACATAGAATCACCTAGTGTTTTCAAACATTTATACCAATAAAATATTAGGATTTTTATAAGATCTAAAAATCTGTCACCGTATTGTTGATATAAACTCCAAGTAAATCGGACTACAATAAATAATTACGATTGGCAAATATTTTTACTGTCTGTCTACATTGTTTCTAGCCAGTTCACTACTTAATAGTATGCTCAGTGTTATTATCGTATAATTGCAAAGGATAACCTTGTTGATAATGAAACATTTATTATTTCTTTATCGACTTGAAGCTTCATTTTAATCTTGAGTAGTTGAACTCAGTGTTTGCTCATGATTATCCAATGACCGTAATTAAATGCTAAATTTAGTATAAGAATTTTATCATCATTACTGAACACTTTTCAATACAGTCAGAACCTTTTTCTCGTTCAGCAGTAGTGGATAGAAAGAATCTGTTCACTATGATTGTACAATTAAATAAGATATCGAGCGAATGATATCAAACTGACTCTGTTTTTCTTTTTGTAATATATGCAAGCATTCATTGACTATATCATGTTTTCACTATCTCTGAAGGTGTTTTGAACTTGAAACATGTGATATGCATGTTGCGCTAACCGTTTACTTAATACCTGATCCTAAAATCAATTATTTATTTGCATAAACGGTTTTGAAACTAGAGTTTGTGTTTACCACTAGTTTTTATGTATATGCACTCTTCTATTCTCTATCTGTTTCTACATTCGTTAGCATACTATTAAAAAAACAGGTGAAAAATAAGATAATCACAAATTCACTTATTGAATATTTAGATGGTGAACAGTAGTATAATATCTCTCTTAACAGTTAACTTCATATACAATAGTGCAGTTTTGTAAGATTAAATGATATACATTAGAGTGATTGTAAAGGTCTTACCTGTTTCGATTGTTTGTCTTAGTTCATAATTAAAACAAGATTTTTGTTTTAGCAACAGAATAGGAGTATGTAGTCAACTAACTTGATTCTTAATTCCTTAAATCGATAATTATCCAAAATCTTAATCTCATTAGTATTCATTTTATTCTTTATGGGACGATGACTTATTTGTTTCGACATTTGACTTTCAACAACTCATTCATAGGTCCGAGTCTTGCTCTACCTAATTTAGTTTGGGCAACGTGATAGTATTACTAAACGTCACACTTAAAGTGTGACTCTAAACCAAACACATAAACTTGTACTCGGCGAGTGAAATAAATCATTATATTCTTTGAGATGTGATCGTTTCTTGTACTAAAAAAGAGTGCAAATCGTGTTATCAGAACCCACAGCATACTTAAGAAATCTGTTATCGCTAGTTATGTCTACATCTTGATTTATTACAAGTTTTTTAAATAACTTGACTAGTTGCACACTACAGATGATATCTGAGATAGTGTGATTCTTGAAAATGATTATTAACCACTTCGATCTTATTCTTCTATCTAATCTGATTTTTTTAAAAGCTTTATAGTCCTCTTATTTACTGATTAACACTAGTATTTTCGGATTTTCATGGCTTCTTACATTCTTTTTTACTCCGCAGCCATATTAATTAGTTAATAATCATTTAGATCATAGGTTAAATTGGTCAGATCAGTGTCTATGATCTCGGACAAGAACTCATGCTTACATTTCTTATCATTGTCTAATATTCCTAAAATAGGGATCCATTAACAATAGTTAGCTTCCACCATTTTTTTAGTTGATATCGAAAAAAAAACAGCCGATTGCTTTTCTTTGACCTCATACTTTTAAACATTGAACTAGTCATTGCATTTTCACTGATTACCATAAAATTGTGCTTACACGAACCCGTACTTAGTTAGTAAGTCACATTTGTGAAGGGTTTTTTTTATCATTGTCCCATATCGTAATCCAATATTTTCTCCCTTTATTTTCATGTTTAAGGCTAATTTATCTTCAAATACATTTTCTGATGGCACCAGTTCTGCTAGTTCATCAGAATCTCTAAATGATGGAACTGCTCCAATCTCACTGTCGGAATCATTAAATCATGATTGGAAGTCTCCAAAACCTATTGATTCTAATTTTAACTCTTCCATTTATCCAAATCAATTAATGAAATCGAATGATGGGAGTTCTGTGGTGACTAACGATAATCTTATCTCCACCGTACCGACTGCCAAGTTAGTTACCATTATTTTTTATTCATCCCATTTGATGTACTAACTACAACAGTGTTTTCAATTTTCCTTACAAATATTTCCTATCTGTGGTAGTAGTTCAAACTGCCAGTTTTAAAACCAGGGTTTTTCCTAAGGCTTTAGTATGGTTTAGAAGAGAGCAAAGCAGAAGCAAGTGGTTACGCTTATGTAATGTTTACGTCTTTCTGTCGAAGATCAAGCGTACATGTCTCCTTGTATGATAATTTTAAACTTAAAATCTAAGGTAAGGCCAATAGTAAATTCACATACACCATTCCAAACAATTTTGAGCTATGTCACCCAGTTTCTAACTATTGGTTACGGAATTTGTGCGAACCCCAGCCAGATTGTCTACATCTACGTACTCGGCTCAGTTTGTCATTAAAGAATAAAATGTAAATAAAATAGCGATTCACAGTTGAAAAGTTGTGACTAATGTATTTATTTTGAGTAAATTCTTATCAACATTAAAAAAGTGTGCAAAAAAACTTTACTATCAGAAGTTATCGAATCTTTTTAATTTTAGTATTCACTCGCATCACACTTCTCCAAATTTTTAGCCTATAAACTGTGACAAAACTTTCGATCGTTTGAGATAGTAAAGTCATTTTCTAAGCTCTCTATTTAAGCAGTGTTTAGACAGTCAAATGATTATAACTTAAGATTAAATACTCTACCCTTGTATGTGTGTCAATTCATTGTTTGACGTACTACATACCTCCTGCTTATGTTCATTTTTATTTTTATAACTTTCCTTTGCTCATCGATAATATTTCCTTTATCTAGACCACGCAATAAATCTCAACATGTTACAGAAATGTTTGATAATAAACCTCCTCAATCTTCTAATTTTTTCAATGAACACCCAGCGTCAAAATCTCCTACAGAAATAAGTAAACCTAAAATTCCTAGCGATACCGTAATTAGGATGGCCTCTGTAGAAGATACTTCAGATGCTCATTCCACTCGTGGATCTCCGGTGAAAAAATTTCCCGATACTTTGGACGTACAAGGGAATCTTGATGAAGATGCCTATAGTAGTGGAGGTGTAAGTGTTGATTTATTATAAATATTTGTTCGATTTTTTCTAAACATTTGATACGATTGAAAAATTTACATATTGTTTAAACGTTATCATTCATAATAGAATTACTTTTAAAAAGTTCCAATTTATATTTCTGCCTAGAAAAAATCAATAAGCAAGATACTTATTTGTTTTTTTTTTCACCCATATGAATGAATTTGAATTCACTAGCTGGTACTGTATTTAAACTTAAACCACCAACCATAGTAGTGGTAGAGATTTTGTCATTACTAGTAGATTCAAGTGTGTTGATTGTGTTTCAGTGAAACCTACAAAACTCTCTTCATATATAATATTTCCGAATTTTTCCTTTTGATTACCTTTTCAGGTTAACTTAGTTTGTCCTTCTCTTAAATATTTTTATTGTTGTCGTTTGAGTTTGGTACTGAATTCATGTTTACAAATACACCTTATATATATCAACCATTAATTAATTAGTGCATGTGTTACATATTGCTATTTTTTAGTACTTATGAGTTTTAATATTACTAGAGAAACTTTTTTCCCCAAAAATTTAAAGCTATTCCAAGTGCTAACAAAAAATTGTACGCTTCCCCGTGTTACATCAATTTTAATGTTTTCTCAGTAAATATGTCAGAACGTGTATGACGACAACAATTGCTATGTATATTGTTTTCCAAATCATTATCGTTATTTTTCACAAGGTACACATGACATTTACCGTCATATACATTTTCATTAATCTTCATTATAAACTTAGAATAGGATAATGTATGCCTGTCTTTCCGTCTACCGCTCTCTCTTACCAGTTTGTATCGGCTTAGCCAACCATTGGATTGAAATAATGTATTCAGTGGAAAATAACTGAAAATTATGTATAACCAATGCTCATAGTGATCGTAGTAGTGGTACTACTACTACCACTAATAATAACAATAATAACATTCAGTTGAATATATAGATTAAAGAAAGCTTATTATCAGAGATAATTTGATCATTTTCACTGATCATCAGTTCAATACCATGATACGAGATAGAATTTCCGATATAATTATAGTCTGTTTTTAGAAAAAAGAAAACTGACATGAGTAACACAGCATTTATACAAATTTGCATTGATGCCTTCATTGTTATTAGGCACATCTAAACGACATTGCAACTTTGTAGTTACATGACACGAACTGAATAGTTAAAATGATGGACATAATTATTCTATATATTGTCCGTATATGAATGGATAAATAGTTCACATGAAAAATGTTGATATGAGAAATAAACGTAACTTAATATTTTGAAGTGCTAATTCAGATCATGAACCGATCAATGTTAGACCACTTTTAAAAACTCCGGAAGCACTGAACGACCTTTTCATTTTAGTATGAGACTCCTCAGCAGTGCACATCCACGATTCCGCACGCAAGACTCGAACCCAGGGCATTCGGTTTTGCGTGAACACTTAACCTTTGAGGAGTCCCATACTGGGGTGAGAAAGCTATCTAGTGCTTCCAGATTTCTAATGGTTGTCTATCTTACATCAGTTCGTAATTTCCTAAAATTCTATAATTCTGATACCCTTCATGCTAAAAACTAGAATTAGTTGCATCTATGAGCGATGTTATAAAATTTCCATCTTTCTTAACCAGATGGATTGAGCTTTATATATAAGAAATATTTTTAAACTTTTTAAGTCGTAGCTGATATTAAGGTTTATATTCCTTATTGTTTATTTCTACTCATTTGTTCGTGTATGGTTGGACTAATAAGTGGATACTGAAAACATTGTAAGCAACGAATCTGGTAAATAACGAATCTATCGATGAGGTTGTAGATAGTTGACCAAGATGGTTCAGAGGTGTGTTACACATGCTTAGCCTCCAATAACCTTGTCACGTAATCCTTGTTGAAAAGAATTTAGTGAGAGTTAGCAAAAGTGATATTCCATCAACCCCCTGAAGACATGAACTTTTGATCTGAGCCATGTGGACAAAGTTAAGACTTCTTGATTGATGCCTGTCTTATATCTGTAATCTATAGATGCATATGTTGGTTGATATTATTTATATGGTACGAAATCAACTTTCTTGATGTCGTTGCATTCTTTCTTTATCTTCCAATAAACTTAGCTGCAAGTAGTAAGTCAGTAAGTTTCAAAGCTGCTGTTCAAATTGTTAGCTAACGAAAAAAAAGGTTTTATTACATATTTTCGAAAAACAAAATTTCAATAAAAACGAATACTTACAGATTTGTGTTAACTTAAAATCGTTTTTAAACTACCATACGCAAACAGTATTACGACGTATGGTTTATGAATTTACTACAAATAAGTGACAAACATTTTGTGTGAATGACCTCATTTTACTAATATCAATAAACATTTGTCCACATCAGTCATTATTTATCCAACACTGTATCATAATTAGTTCTGTAAATTTATTGTTGTTATTTCAAGAAAGAAAAAAAGACATATATTCAAGTTCAGACGTGACTCATTGTTGCTTCTACATGTACATGTGATTTAATATTTAATCGGTTATAATTTATGATATTACATATTTCAAGCTGCTACACTACTCATATTTAAAGTGAACTAATATCTAGCAATAACAGAACACATTAGGTTATCATATTACCATTAATATACGTTTAAATACAAGTGCTTGTAATGATGAGCCGCACTTAATATAAGACCATTAATTGCTTTGTTCTAAGTCACTCTGTTTTGTGTAAATATTTTGTATGTCGGTATATGGTAGTTTTAATTCTCTGAAACCTGTAATTATTTAGTTGGCCAGTGAGTAATTGTATCTTCCGATATTTAATTGAAAATAACCAATTGATTGTATAAAGAAATTATCAGTTCACATACCTCAATCGTATAGTAGTCTTATCATCGATTCTCGTGGCATAACTTTTGTCTTCTATTGTTTGGATGCTTTTTTACTTGAATGCTTCATGTTAACCGCATGAAAAAAATGTCGCATTTGACTTATGATTTAAAATTCGGCCCTATTTCTCACAGAATAAAACTTGATTTAAACATATTGATATATATGTATTCACCAGTTTTGCTAATGAAGTAAAATATATACCCATAACCAATCAACATTCTAAAATTTTAATCTTCGTTTATTCAAACTACTTTTTAAGTTTCTTTTGAAATAGTTCTTCTCTGTTATTTTTCTGTTTGTAATTTGTTTCCAGCCACCGGATTCATAGATGTAACAAAACAATGATTGACGTAATTGCTGTTCATTTAGTTCGTTAATTAATAGTTCTAATATCAAATTAAGATTTGAATCTATTTATTCAATTACTTGAAATCTAATTCACAACTCTTCTCGAAACCAGTCATTTCATTGTCGTTTGTTAAGATTACAGAGTTTCATCAGTCTGTCAAATTATAATTTCATCGGATTTTAATTAGACTTTTTACTGTCAAAACAGATTCATGTTCTGTAAGCGTTGTAAATAAAATGTTAAAAACTATGTGATACTTAACAACATGAAATTATTTTGTTTGAATGATATGTGGAGATTTCGTATAGTTTGATTTTAGTTTTCATTATAAACCGCAGTTGTAGGTATGTTGTGCACTAATAAGCTTCAAGTTAAAATAAAACAGTTGTTTCCATGCTCTGGTTTTCAGGCGCTTCTTCAACCAATGTCATTTCTTTATAGCGCTGACTTCCAAGTTTTGATACTAACTGTAAATGTTTATGAACTTTCGTATTCAATCGTTCTAAAGAGCCTGTCTGTAATTATTTTTTGTTAATTCCAATATAATAGATTTTCTCACTCCATAAGTATCCATTTCTTTAATATAAAAAGCAACTTGTCCACTGTTCTTGACAATTCAGTACAGCTTTGACTCAGTGATCTAACAACATTTTTTTTATCTTTAAGACAATTATTCCCTTTGATAAATTTCGATAATGCAATAAGAAGATGAAGTTTATGATAATTATGTGATAGATTTGCGCAATACATTTCGAACAATCTATTAAGTAATCAATTTTTTAACTGTGTTACACCCATCTATTTTAATGGAATAGTGGTAAAAACTGACTATGTTTTTTACTGTTACTAATATTTACTATTTTACATATTGTAGGAAGAGATTTACGTTATTTCTAGACGAGTTGGATTCACAGATGATGTGGAAGATAATGAAGAGAAATCAAATCAAAAACTTATTCGACGTGATACACCACATTATACAAAACGCGCTCGAATTCAGTCAAAAACAGCTGATGGGAGTAAGTGCAATTATAAATTTTACTTCCTATTGAATGTCAATTCCAGTTTAGTTAATGAAATACAGGGAATGAATTGAGATTATTTGATGATGATTTAATGAAAGACATTAAGTTTTTATAATGAATCATTTATCTCTCATTATGCAGAGATAATGTTTTTTTGTTTCAACTTTTTTTAGTAGAAGGTTATTTTTGACTGTGTATGAACATGTTTATGCTGACAGCCTGTAAACTTACATTGAATTGTACTAATTCTGGACCTGGTTAAGGATGATACGCTATAAACGCTAAATATAAGTTCTGTGTTTCGTGTTGTTTATTAAAATATAAGGTTCTGTTCTGTGAAGTTTATATATGAATTCATTTCATAGCCACACAGTTATTGAGACCTATCTACTGATTTCATTTCTTCGTTTGATTGCCTTTGATCTCTTTTCTATCTCATCATTAATGGACACCTAAACAAATAGTAATTAGCGATGAACTGCAACTACTTTAACTTTGTCTGTAATAGTATTCAATCACAACATATGCTTTCACATATTTAATCAGTACTTTACACCTATCATCAGGATTACCATTTTAGTTACTCCTCGATCAATGAGCAGTTCTTTAGGTACCTTTGTGTGTACTTTATTAGTTTGTTGGATCAAAATATTAGTTTACAAGAAAATGATTATTTTTTTTAAATGATTTTAGTGGCTTGTGCAAACAACTACGAAAGTAAAGTTTTAAGACTTAGTATGCTAACGCTCCATACGTATACGCGAAAACATACAACAGTGTGTGTCTGACTGAATTGAAATGGTTGAAGTATACCTCGATTGAAACTAGTTATTGAGACCTATCTACTGATCTCATTTCTTCGTTTGATTACCTTTGATCTCTTTTCTACCACATCAGTATTCGACACCTAAGCAAACAGTAATTAGAGAAATTATTTTATTCGCTAGATTTCATAAATAAATAAATAATCATTGAAAAAATACGTCTATGTTTTTTAATTATTAGTTTTATTAACCTATTCCTTGAAAAATACAATGTGGGAAATATTGTTTATACTCCCATATTTTTTTGCCTTTATGCGTATATTGATATTTCAACGTGGAGATAGAGAATGTAGTTGAATAAATATATGACCGTGAATATTATTATTAGTAACTCTACTTCATAACACAATTCAAATTAAGTATTACATGATTCTTCAGTCCATTTTTGTGTTCATTTATTCCTCTCTCTCCTACATCTCTCGACCTCATACTATTGTAATTGCCTTTGTGTTTTTTTTCTAATCGTGAAGTGGATAGTGAAGAAGCAGTATTGAAAATTTTAGAAAAGTATCGAGCATCCGTTTCACCGAATCCTGATTCAAATTCAATTGATGTAAGTCATTGTCATTATTACATTTGTTTGCTTTTTGTTATCCTGGTTAATATAAAAAAAGGTTGATACTAATTCCACATTGATTTTTCTAAATATTGATTTTATGCTTTTGTTTTTCTTACAAATTTATGCATATAATGCGTCATAGAAATGCTGTTTTTTTAATTTTTCAACTGAAATTCCAATAAGTCACATGTATATACTACTTTTGGTAGCCTATTAAGTGAATAAATATTCGATATGTTTTGAATTTCGTTGTTTTCGTGAACTAATTGAACTTCTTACATAGTTGTTTTACTAGGACAGTAATTTTGATTTTGTGTGTTACAAAATAAGTAGTAGTTAAGTTTTGATTACTTGGCCAGACTATAATTTTTATGGGTGAACCAATGAAATTAAAGATAGTAAGTCTTGGGTTTTGGCATATGTCAGTTCGTGATGAAAGCTATTACTTTAATTCCTATCTCTAAATTCTAACTAAATCCTAATCCTAATTTATAACCCTCTTTTGACCCTTGAAAATAAGCGAGTTGTCTCAAGGTCACGTTAGCATCGCTCGAATGTATTTCATAAATTGTCTCAACGATTACTCGATATATGTTCATAGAGAGAGAGAATATCGGTTAACAACTGTATGGTTTATTGCTAAAATATACTAAATATTCTTTTTAGAACAACACATGTAAGCGAACAATCGTTTTCAATTAGATCGCCATCAGGCTTTACTCTAATATACATGAATATTTATACGAAAATTTTAAACCAATCAACGCAATATGGGTCAATAATCACAATGAAATAGAATAAGTCTCTACACATAATAGGTAAAAGTACAAGTTTATAGTAAGAAGACAGGTAATAGTAGATAATAATAAAATACAATAACAAAACTCTTATCAATAGTTAAATGTTGGGAATAGAAGGTCAAACATGGGTAAATAGACTAGGAATAGTAATCACAAAACATTAAAATCATTACGTAATAAGAAGTGTGTAAATAATTAGATAGTGAAGAATACGAAGAGGCGGAAAATTACAAACAAATAATGGATGTGGAAATAAGGTTAACGATAACACAAATAGAATAAAATAAATAATGATAATAATAAAATTTTAAAAAATTGTTAGTTAAGTTATAACCGGCCATGGAAGGGATAGGGGGGTCACGTATTTCTTCTGTACACATAAATTGGGGTTATATGTACGAATTCCAATGGCTTCAGCTATATGTAGGAGACGGGAACGGACTCCGTCGGGAAATGATGGAGGTATACGATAGATCACTCGAAATGATTTCGATTTATCTACAGCATGACCGCTATCAACAAGATGTGCCAATATAGAACTGCGAATAGATTTTATCTAGCCCTTTATGTACCAAGTTGGTAGATGTTCATTCATTCGTTGGTTAAGTTTCCTGGTAGTACGCCCTATATAGCTATCTCCACAGGAGCAGCTGAATTTGTAAATTAGAGTAAAGCCTGATGACGATCTAATTGAAAACAATTGTTCGCTTACATGTGTTGTTCTAATTTTCACAATGGGAATCTTTAATATTCTTTTTAGTTGAATAAAAATTCACGCATAACAGCTAGTCAACTGCCTGCAGGTTATTACTGTGTAACTGTGAATTTTAGATTTTCCGCTAGATCTTTTAACTTTTGGATTTGCATCAAACAACAATAATGATTAGGTGTAGAAAAGTAATGATTAGGAAACAACTAAATCGTCAGTCACTAACTGTTATACTACAAGAAACTTAGCTATTTGTTCAACACTGAAAACGCATAATAACAATAACATTAAAAGTGAATGTCAGTCAATTCTTATGAAACTAAATGTGTTTAATCGATAGTTATTCATTACATTATTTAAAAACTGATTTTAACAGATTTCGTTCTTTACTTACTGTACATATATATCTAACAAAAATATCGAAGGATAGTTATAACTGACGATTAAATTATCAGTTGATAGGTAAAAACACATAAAATTGGTACAAAGGGGAATCGAAATGCATATGCACCTCATGAAGTAGTTATCATTCAATTTATGTGGGGTGGGATACTGTGTGGTTGTTGGAACTGAAACAAAAGATTTTCTTAGGGAGGACACTCCCCGAGCCTTTGACCTAGAGGTCTAATCCATAAGACAGCGAAACGCTGGGAGATCCAATTCCATGGTAGCTGGTGACCAACAATAGGTTCATATATTGCCTTTTCCCTCAACACCCTGCCCCCTATGTAAACCCACTGGTTTAGAGTCAGGGACTTCCAACTCCTCTTTGTGGATCCTCCCTACCCACTAAGCCGGTTTAACTGTCCGGCATTCGCTATCCGTCCTGAATGTCGTAAGCAACAACTCCGCCACGAGGAGAGTGAGTAGGACTGCTCTGGCAGAGGCTATATATGCGTGATCAGATGAAAGCATTTCAAGAGGGAAAGCAGGCTTCAACCACCCTCGGCCTTACCAAAGCATTTGTGGGCCATTTCATATATTTCGCATCAGTAGTATTATTGATGTATTTTGCGATTCGGTTCGATTGATCCCAAGGTGATTTGAATAATCCTAACACTAACGGATTCTATTGTAAAGTTGAAAAGGCGGCAACTGACACACACACAGATCTCCAATAATAATCTACAACGATGTGAACTCTAAAGGTAAGTTGAAGTGTGGAGAAAAATTTAATATTTTCCATGACTAATCAATGTGGAATAACTGCATAGAGTCTGATGTGACTAGCGAACTAAAAGTTGTAACAATCAATCAGAAGATAGTGATCATGCAGAAATACCAATTAAGAGAATTACACTCGTGGTTATCGTTGCAAGAAGGAACTAACACTTAATGACGAAACTAAAACATTTGAGGGACTTCTTACGATTTATTCACATAGTTTCGCATAATATTTAGAACTTGTCTTTCCTAATTTTTCTATTTAGTTTAACGGAGCTGTAAAACGATTTGCCTCCCCATTTGGTGGATTAAGTCCTCCTGATATCCCATTACAAAATCGTGACTTGCATTCTCCATCATCATTACATAGACAACCTGTTGTCGGTTGTCAACAAGAACAAGTTGAAGTTCACATCCATCGACAACCTAATGCTGGTTTAGGTCTTAGCGTGGCTGGTGGAGTTGGGTCAATACCATTTCGTGGTTTAGATCATGGTATATTTGTTAGTCGATTAAATCCTACTGGATTAGCTGCCACTTCAGGACTTAAACTTGGCGATAAACTATTAGAGGTTAGTGTACTGTTCTGTTTTTCTTTTTTTATTTCTTATCAGTAAAACTTTCTACGTACATACAACAACCTCGGTTATTTCTGTTCTATTGAGTTTTTTTTTAACCTTTTTTTAGGTTAATGGTGTTAGTCTTATCAATGTCGAACATAATGTAGCTGTATCTGCTTTACGTGCCAATACAAATTACTTCCGTATTCTTGTTGGTCGTGATATTCAAATGTCTACGAAAGTAGACAATTATAAAATTATCCCCCCTATGTTATCAGGAACAAAATTGAACCTGTCGACTCAATCACCACAGGTAGGTTGGTTTTTTCCCTTAAATAAAATTTGTTCGTTGTTATTGCTTATTGATTTACCATAAAAACCTCTTACTTAATCCTTACTTTCTTTATTTGATTTAATCTGTTAGACCAGAATTTGTTGGGTTTTTTTCAATCCATTTGTCATACCGAAATGTTCCTTGCTTTATAAGTGAAAATAAAACACAAGTGTAAACAAAATAGGTTTCAGTCGAAATAAAAAAGAGTGCATGTTGATTCTCGATGAACATTAAATAATTACTCATTCGAAACTTATTTATATAGTGTCTGTGTGATAATTGTCATCAATGGTTGAAGACCATTCCTTATGTTCGAAACATATTCTTTATAGGTAGACATACTATCATAGGTATCTTCATTAGTCCAACTTCTATGTAGCTATTCATCCTTATTATCTTCTCTCTGGGCCGAAGTAGTGTGACCTAATGCATATTTGTACCAGCTTCTACATGTATTATGCTGACTACCTGATCAATATTACAAACATTATATACTTTTCTGTCTTGTAGTAGTTGCTAAGTATATGAAACACTAACTCAGTCATTAGATTGAGTGTACGGAAAATTGATAGATTGTATCATGAAATATTTATTCCTTATTCACTGTAAACATCTCTTACTTCGTAAGTTAGTATTCAACTTCTCGGTACTATTTACTACAACATGAGAGCATGCAGTCAACCACTAAAGATTCCATAGCCTAATCCATATATGTATTTTGTTTAGAAGTAACGAATTTGAATGTAAGTGGTGAAATAACTGTTTGTTCAGCCAGCGAACAGCAGTCAAAAGTTTTATACAGTAATCTCGTTCCATATTTAAAGCAATTAGTCATATAGTTTCATATTACCTATTGCCTTTAACAATAATATAGATCGCAGAGTTTAACAACCTACTGCATATTTTTTTAATGGACATTATTAGGTTTAAATAGAATTAGGTTTTCTGCTAATACCACTGGATAATTTTGACATAGATTTTGGCAAAACAAATACTAGATATTTAAAACAATTAGTCCCTTTGATAAATTTGGATAATGATAATCTTCGTCTTCTAATATCATTATCGAAATACTAGATAAACTTGTCCTAATCAATGAGGAAAGATAGTTTGAAAAAGATAAATTATGACATCAGTAAAACATATCAATTAAGTGTAGCTTTTTCTCATTTAAATAATGGTAATTATTAAACTGAATATCATCAGTATTACAACCTTTTGTGACTAGACGTTTTACAGGTTTCGTTGTACATGTTTCTTTGTCTTATAAGGAACACAAGACAGCTTTACAGACTAATAAAAGAAACTGGAATTAATAAATCAAGTGTAAGAGCGAAAACAAATCAGATCTAGGTTAGGCAAAAGTCTAAGGAACGACCGTGAGCAGTGGTGGGCAACGAAAGCAAAAGGCCGCCGCCTTTTAACTAATATAGTATCTTAAATACTAGCCTCGATAATTATCAGAAGCCTAAGACTCGTGAACTGCAAACACGAGAGAATCAAGCTGGCTTCAGACCTGGTCGTGGCTGCATCGACCACATATTCACCATTCGTCAGGTTCTAGAACATAGGCATACTTATCGGCGTCTGACAATGGTGGTCTTTCTCGACTTAAAAGCAGCATTTGATTCGATAGACCGTGACATTCTGTGGCAGTGTCTGTCATTGAAAGGCGTACCTCAGAAGTACATAAACCTTGTGAAGGCTCTTTACTCGAACACTACCAATCGAGTCAGAGCTTATGGCGAACTGTCATCTGCTTTTGCAACCTCAAGTGGTGTCCGTCAAGGCTGTCCACTTTCTCGATTTTTGTTTAACTTCATCATAGACTTATTGATGGAAATAACATTCGTCTACTGAATTCTCGGGTATTGATCTTCTTCCAGGAGGTCCACTTATCGACTTAGAACACGCAGATGATATAGTCCTGTTTGGTGAAAACGCTGATAGAACGCAGTCTTTTGGTAGCACTAAGCAACAATGCCAGAATGTTTGGAATGCGCTTCTCTCCCTCTAAATGCAAGTGTTGCTTCAGGACTGGTCTGCGTCAACACCTGAACTAAGGATAGGGAGTGAAGTAGTCGAACGCGTTGACAACTTCACTTATCTTGGAAGTCTGATCAGCCCTAATGGGTTGGTGTCTGACGAAATCTCAGCACGGATTCGAAAAGCTCGTTTGGCTTTTGCCAAATTACGTCACCTATGGCGAAGGCGAGATATCCGTCTATCAATTAAGGGATGAGTATACTGCGCGGCAGTCCGTTCTGTTCTACTTTACGGCAGCGAAACATGGCCATTAAGAGTAGAAGACACTGGTAAGCTACTAGTATTTGACCACAGATGCCTCAGAAATATTGCTGGCGTCTGCTGGGATCACCAGGTAAGTAATAGTGAGGTTAGACGCAGGGTATTAGGGAATAATGGTAAATCAGTTGATGAGGTTATGAATCTTCATCGATTGAGATGGTTGGGCCACGTGTTACGTATGCCCGAACACCGATTTCCACGACGTGCAATGCTAACCGGCGTTCGGGATGGTTGGAAGAAAGTTAGGGGCGGCCAAACCAAAACGTGGCATCAGTGCTTGAAGTCACTAACTTCTAGTCTGAGCCATGTTGGTAGATGCAGACTACTTGGTTGGGGTCCGCGTGACTATCGTAACCAATGGTTGGAGACTCTTGGTGACATGGCTCAGAATCGATCACAATGGCGTCGGTGTATACACTCTCTGTCTTCCCTTAAACTAAGAGATTAAAATTGCTTCATATCTTTCTTTCTACGAACTAATTCTTTCTTGCTGTACTATATCCTTATTGCAATCTTTCCTTTATATATTACCACCTCTGAATTGACTACTTTTATGAATCCGGTGTCCATCTTGTTGTGTTGATGAGGTATGGCAACCTGGACCGATGCATATATGTGCCTGGTCCTACGTTGTAGCTGACTGACTGTTTCTTTGTTTTGTTTTTTATTTCGTTCAATCTAATCATTGGTGATGCTTTGTCGTTTTTGGTATTTACTGTAAATTTATTTTATTAGAGCATAAATTTTTATTATGAAACCAAGTATGTCTTTTGTCCTTCATTTTGATTAGGACTTCGTTCATGTAATTTTCATGAATGGATCTCGCAACTGTAATTTTACTTAGTGGTAAACACTGCATGAATGATATTATTTTTATTGTTGAATACTCTGATAAAATTCAGTTTCCTCTAAATCCGTTAAATAACAATGCTAGAATCTTTGAAATCGGTTTGTTTTTATCTAATTATAAAATATTGCTTTAGAGTAACGTCAATGTCTGGTTAGATCATAGGAAGTGAACTAGTCGAGCTGGCCGGTATATTAACTTATAACTGCTACCAATGCTAGAAGATCGATGATTAGCGAAATTCCGGCACATTTTTGGTTTTTGTTAACTTGTGGCTTAGATATTGTGTCCATCTGTCAACTAAACGATGTGCCGTAGTATATTTTGTATTAATTTTTCGATATGACATAACGTTTGAAAGTAAGAGATATGCATAGGTTACCAGTTCTTGATCATGAATGTATTGGATACAAAAAAATTATTGTACATAAATTTGGTATTACCCAGTTTATTAAGTTGATGCTGTATTAACTTAACTGGATATGATCTAACTGATAATTAGATCATAATTTTATTCCTTTGCATTAACTTCCTTCAGATATTTTGTATCACTGAGTCATACTAATATTTTACTGTACAACATAACTAAAACATCTTAATCCAGTGATTTAACATGTTCTAAATTTTATCGTCTCGGTTTAGGGCTACAGGTACTAATTGATTTACTAATCAATGCTCTTCAAATAAGTTAGTGTTTTAACCTGTAACTAAGTCTTTGGATGTTTTTTCTAATTAATCAGATGTTTGGTGTGAAGATCTATTATATTTTTGTCTAGGTAATCTTATTTATAAAAATTACAGATGAAACTGTTTGATAATATTTTTGTCTCTATCTGAAAATATTATTTAGAGCATATTTTATACTGATAAAATACAACAATTAAAAATAAAGGATCTATCAATATGTGTTGTTTTAGTAGTAAACCTTTGAACCAAATAGAAGTCCAGCATGAAATTCAAACTGTTGATTTGTACAATGTTAGTTGATTCACAATGATAGGTCAAGATATGCATGATCAAGTGTTGAAAACATTTAGTGGCATAGCCCAGATACATTCACTTCTTGTTTTACTGTAAATATTGGTTTCTAATGTTTCTTCATACCCCATACCTTTTGATTCTATCTTTCGGTACCATATTCTCAATGTTACCTTGTCATTGCTATTGTTGTGAAATCTATTCGATTTTGTTAGCTGTTCATCTTGTTAGTTTCATCTTAACGTGTTAATATGATATGGTAACTTGAACCAGCGCACATTTGTACCAGGTTCTACATTGATTATGACTGATTGATTGAATGTGAGAATCACTGCAGTAATGTGTTATTGTATAAAAGGAAATTGGGAATAGATATCCAAGTTTTGTTTGTTTAACTTTATTAATCTTATTGTATATTCCAATATTTTAAACTATATTTTAGTTAGTTGTACACTAGAAACATGATAATTAAATAATAATAATAATAATTAAAAGTTCTATTTATCTGTTATAGTTTGTTCAACCGTGTAATATTTTTCTCTGGGGTAAGGAACTGTTTAAAACACAAATCTAAGCATAGTTACCAAGTTTAGTATATAATGCGTGATGACAGGGAAATCATCAATCATTCATTTCCTGGGTACTTGTAAATTTGACAATTAAAATAGTGAAACAATATTTGTATAAAAATACCAATTAATTGTATAGTCAAAATTAATAATTTGCTATCTAATTTACTTCCATACCTTTTCAAGAGTACAATTAATTAAGGAAAAGGATCAGTAATAATCTGCATGTTTTCATTTGTGTCATAACAATATATATTTCTATGTATATATTTTGCAAGTGGCTGTTAATTAGTATTCTTTGATTCTCTTTTGAGACAACTGTATATTTCCAACATATTACAGAATTAAGACACGATCTATTAATAATTTTCTCATATATTAACTAGCTTCGTTGGTCACTTTTCTATTTCTTAACCGATTGTACATTCGTGGTCAACAAATAATTGTTGATATTTTTTTCTTGAAAGTTTCGTTATTTCTAATGTGAAATTACATTAAACGTCCTATTGTGTTGTCAGTTTTTATTTACTCGATTGTTATAAGAGGTTTGATTGTATACAACATTAATGTAGATTGATTAATACTTTAAAGATCATTTTATCCTGTTGACGTGGTTGGAGTTACAATACAGTACTCAGTTGATGCAGCTTATTTGTTGATAAAAACCAAAATCACAATCAATACGGGTACTATAAATCGCTTTATTCGACAGATTATATGTTGTACTGAATATATCGTGATTGTTTACGATAAATTATTTTTGTTAAACACTTCTACCATTTTGCGTGTATCTCACATTCCTATTTCGTGTTGGACTGACTTATATTTTGACGCGAATTTTGTATTGCAAGGTTCTAAATATCTCCTGGATGATTCGAATTTTCCTCACCCTATTTTCCTCTATATTTAGATTCATCTGAACGAACTTTTATTCTATCATAAAGCAGTTGGTGATTTATATAAACATGACGGTAAATAAAACTGCAAAACACTGAAATTGCTATCGTTAATCGTTAAGTCTTTAAGTTTGTACAGAATTGAATTATTCAGAAAACTGAGTTTCTTTGTTATATATCTCCCTTATCCATCATTTCATATATTCTTTTTTTTGTTTATGTGTAGCAAGACAATTTCACTGTTTATCTTACTTATTAGCTTACAATGCATCTTGTTCTGATAATATATACAGTTGTTGATCACATTTTAGATATTCTATAAGTGTATTTTGATTGTTAAAATAACGTATGGAGCGATGACTGACTGATTATCCAATGTAATACAATATATTCTGATGCTAACTGCTCACACCCTCTGGATCCACTGACTTCTTTCATTAATTGATAACACACAAATCAACAACAAACGTGATCACTTTCCTCTATTCTTCACTTCTCAAATCATGAAAATATCAAAAATACGACATTTATTCTGTCACTGAGAGTGTTATCTAGCAAAAATATGAGCCAATGTGCATTTTCAAGTAGCGTTAAATTGTAGCGGAAAGTGATTGCATGGTTTATACTGATTAGTGCAACAGCAGAATAAACTACGCTAAGATTATTCTTATCACTTTTTAAGATAAGTCGAAATCTGGAGTAAAAAACGCTTACCTTTATTCAACTAACAACCTAAAAAGTCGGTTTCCAATTCAGCTACTTATCACTTATACCTCTGAATTGAATTACAAGACGACTGAGCAAGTATTTACTCGACCCCAATCTTAACATTTTTGTTGGCAAATTAAACAAAATATATTGATTAGTGTCAAACAATATAGACTTGTTTACGTATTTTATGTCCGATGAGCACTTAAATATTCCTCAGATTTAAGACTTCATAAATCCACTAGATACATAGCCTTTATCACATTTAAGGGAATATATTATTCTACTATTTTAATAAGGTTTTCTGTATTAGATTTTCACCTTCTTTATAAATGTAGGTCTCTTAATAAATACTTATTGATCTAATTGTATGTTTATTCATATCATTTCTTTCATTGATTTAATTAGGTTACGGGAACTATTAATACCAAAGAAATACCTGAAGTAAGTGGTTTTTCCCTGTCTTATTACAGTTTTAATTGTCATACTGTCACCTCACACTAATAACCTTTTTATGAAATAAAATAATTGTATAACTTTAAATCTAAAACCAAACATAATTTTAAGTTAACGTTCACGAAAGAAATGGATAGATAGATAGATAGTTTGATCAATTTTTAATACACAACTATCAAGTGGATTGTCGTACTTTAACATTGTGTATTCTAAGTTTCTTTTCAAATTTATAAATCTGGGAAAACTTTATTACATGTAACAATTTGTTAACTGTAAACTTTTTCTTAACAAACCCAAAGTACAGTACCAATTATAGACTAATCTAATAACTGTTATCAGTCTCATATTACAGATTGTACGTCCTATATTGAAAATTTAACCTTCATCAATTACATCAACTGTTAATTGTATATTACATAATCGTAAATAATGCAATTATGAAAATCTATAAAGAATATGCTACATTACATCAACTTATTTTGTGTTTTAATTTCTTTTATGGTACAGTTTATTCACTGTACATTACACCGAGATTTAAATGGTCTAGGATTTAGTATTGCCGGTGGTCAAGGCTCACTTCCTCCACCATTAGATAATGAAGTGAGTTTTGCTGATAAGTATTTTAAATTTTGATATTCATTAAATTGTTAATGTATTATTGGGTTTTTTTTAATATAATATTTCAAACATTATGAACAATAAAGAAAATTTTTATTTACTCTGGGCTTCCGTTTTCATTTACAATTTATATTGTTTCTAATATTGAATGGTGTATTGTCCTGTGATATATATATATATATATCTTCATTCATTCCATCCTCTTTTAAGTGACTTAGTCAATCAACAATTCACATTGTTTTATTTTTATTCTGTGTTTTGATATCTGACTTTTTAAAAATAATGAATAAACTAACAATTTTAATACACTTCAATAAAATTGTGTATGTAAAACCAATAGATAATAATTCATGCTTGTAATTACAAGGATTTTAAAATAATAAAAAAAATTTTCATTGTGATCATTAGAACAACATAACACATATTAAACGAAGTTCAGCGGAGGGATCTCTTTTCAACGAAATTATTACCAAGCTGTACAATCGTATATATCTATATTAAAAAACATGATGATGCAGTCGTAAGAATACTATTATACTCCATTAAATAATATAAGTAGTAACAATACTATATATATATATATATATATATATATATATATATATACGACCATACAGTTTGATAATAAATTCGTTGAAAGGAGATCCCTCGCCCAACTTCGTCTTTTTAATGTTTAAATAGCAGTTATATATCAACATCGCACATAAACAAACGATACTATATCAGGCTTTACTGTAAGTTAGTAATGTATATATTCAGACATTCTATGAGTCAATGTTAATAATCATGTAAAAAGAGTACATGATTAATCCTAATAAATATAAACTACATATAAGGCAATTAATCCTTTTTATAAATTTCGATAAAACAATGAGAAGACGGAGTTTATCTGAAAAATGTGATGTATTTGCGCTATACAGATAGTTCGAAATGTATAGCGTAAATACATAAACTACATACTGGACTTTAGGTTGGCATGTTTGCATCAAACTTTGAGAATATAAATCTATGGAATTCAGTAGTGTATAAAAATTATCCAACAAGAATTGTAAAAATAATCCGTCTAATCAATTGGAAATCGTAATATATATGTATTAATAAATTAGAGTATATAGCTTGATGAAGGTCTAATTAACAACAGTATTGTTCACATTTACGTGTTTTTGTTTGAATACTAAGGATAATCAATAATTCATGCATTTAACATCATTATGTATTAGGCATAGTTATTCTTAAAATACATATAAATATTTCATCAGTAGTAGTTCTGTATATTCTAACTGTAAATTTAAATACTACTACTTCGACCATTATTGTTTCTTCTATTATTATATTCTAATTATTAAGTCTACATGAATTCAGAATATGATTTCTATTTCACTTTGGCTCAACTTCTACTACTGCCTTTATTATTATTAACAATAATAATTGATCGTCCATTTGTTAAAGGATACTTAATCATTTTTACGAAATTGTCTTCTTTTTCTTTGACATGAAACTACATTATTTTTCTTATAGAATTGCAAATATCTTGAGGTAGGTTTATAGTTTATATCGTTGACATCAATCATACTGCCTTGTGGGCTTTATTTTCCCCTCTCGTCCTAATTTTTTCCAATGTTAATTTTATTTAATCTTTAATTTCGATTTTTTCTCAAATAGTCGTATATTAATTATTATTATTATTATTATACTATAAATATTAATGAGTCGGATAAAATCCATTTTTATCATTGTTGTGATTGTAATTTGTTCAAAACATTTGACACAAACCTTTATGTATTCGCTCTCACGCTTGTTTAATCTTAACTTTTGTTCTTTGTAAATGTAAAATAGTCTTGTTTGTTTGCAGGAAATTATATCATTTTATGTTTGTTCTCGTCGAATCTTGTTATGTATTGAATATTTCTGCAAAATGTTTAACTTCTTAAACAGAATGATAAAAAAGGGATTAGAAAAGAGTATTATTCATACTTTCTCTCATGTATTCGTCTCTCTTAATTGTTGTATATAACAGTTATTCAGGTATCAATTATTTCTTATCACTTGAAGAAACGCTGAAATTTTACTTCAGCTAAATTTATTTTTAAAGAAATTTGAGTTTACCACTATTCCCCTTTTGAAGTTATAATCCATTTATTCTTAGTCTAAATAATGAGACGAGCATCTTTTCGTATTTTATATTACATTGTATAACCAATTAGGGAAAAGAGAATTTTCTCCACTGAATTATCTTTATTTCTTCTTCAATCAGGGATTATTGTCTCAATTCAAATAAATCAGAATAGAATACAAACTAAACATTTTTGAATAATGTGTGTTCTATAACTCAATAGATATATGACTCGATCATGTTCACTTAGCGATTTTACTGTAATTCTTGTCTTATCTGATAAACCTGTCGACCAGTTATACAAAACTATTTCATACTGGGGTACTTTTATTTAAAACAAATCCCTCCATTTGTACTGCTTTGCATTGTAGATGCTGGTACTATGTCAAGCCCACATAGGTTATTTTAGCCCCTGGACAGGCCAATTTATTAATGCTTCTCGAGTCATATTTTGACCTTGTTAATCATTCGCTTATCAACCTCGATTGTATTTGCGTAAGCGTGTGCGTGTTCATCTCTTATCCTGCTCATCATGTCTAACTTACTTTTGTCTGACTATAAATATTGAGTAACGCTTGGTCAGAGTTGGCTCACATGCCCTCTCCGATCGTCCGTCTAGATCAACAACTGTAGGAAGTGTACGTATTTGACATATTTAATCCCGTTATTCACTAATGTTGTTTAAATCGATAGATTTATACGAGGATTGGTGATCAAATTGAAGTCAGATGTTCCAGGGCCCCCAAAATACCATATATTGTCCATTGATTACTTTCAAATGAAATTCTTGTTTGATACCTTACTTTAACTATTCTGTGTTGTAATCGGTTTTTTCGTGTCATTTTTATCCTCTAAGTGTGTTATGTATTATGTGTTCATGTTATTGATGAAGTGTTATACTTATTGCTTGTAATTATTTAATTACGATGAATTATATATGTATTTCTCTGTTGCAAAGAATGAAATTGAAATGACCCTTCTGTCGTAAAAATGTCTTTTTCCTCTTTTTTTAAAATTTAATTTCATCAAAAATATGTTTAATTGTCGAAATAATTTCATTCTTTGTTTTATTTCAATTTAATTATAGTTGATCCTTCATTAAAATTGAATGTAATTACGCTGTGTTTTATTTGATCTAATTTCAATTTTAAGTAAATTAAGTAGTTATTAAACGATATATAACAAGATTCTTTTTTTCAATCTTTGAAATGTTATGGTAATAGTCGATTGAGAACCTAAATGTTTGTCTTATTCATGTTGAAGTTTCGTTTATTTGACACCATTCTATCAAAACTAGAACTATTAAAGTCAACTACTAACTGAACCTTGATACTAAACGTTCAGCTAATAATTAGTCCCTTTGATAAATTTCGATAATGCAATGAGAAGACGAAGTTTATCAGAATTATGTGGTATATTTGCGCAATACATTTGACCAAATAAGATCATGGGATAGACAGACATCATCCTCTATTGCGAAACATTTGAGACTGGTTGATATCGAGCCAGCATTTGTAGTGTTGTACAAAAGCTTTCAAGGACGTATATACTGAGGTTTATTGAAGCCTTGGCTATACGGAAATTGAAACCCTCTTTATGTGTTTAGAAACAATTTGTCCTACCCTGGTAATACTGATTTATTATCTAGAGTGATTATCACATTTTTTTTCTTCGTTACGGCTTACTTTTAACCTGTCTAGTTGACCTTTTAATTTTCATATAGAAATGTCTTAACAAGTATATATGTGTGATCAGATTGTTCGAAATGTATTACTCACATATATATTACATAATTCTGATAAACTTCGTCTTCTCATTGCATTATCGAAAGTTTAACTAATAACCAAACAATTAATTATTCTAGTTTTGTCTAAAAATGGATTAGTTTTTATACAAAAGAAATATAATTAAGTAACTAATTGGTTGAATTCGGGGGAAAAAACATTTCCTGTTATCAATATACAATCAAGACACAAAAATGTATTACAATAGTGAAACATAAAAAATAATTGACAGTGCCTTGTCATATCTACTATTGACTAAGTTTTTTTCCCATTGAATCAAGGTTAATAATTGTATTGTTATTATGATCATTGTTTCTTTTCATTATCAAGTTTATTAAAACAGTAATACTAAATTGTTAATATTTCTGGCGAATCGATTAGACATAAGTAAATATAATTTCAAAATTTTATGTCCAGTGTTTATTTGAATACTGAACCTAGTTATTGTACATAACGCCATTATAATCTTTGATCAAGTGATGAAATGAAGTTTATCCAACGTTTTTTTGAATAAAGAAATCTATTCATGGAAGTTGTTCCCAGTCGTTAAGGTATCTTTTATTAAATTTTAATTCTATCACTTATTAAGTCTATCCTTAGTGCAGCCTATTTGATCTATTGTTGTCTTGGTGTTAAATTTGTAGAAATTGATCACTATCTCACTAAAATTACAGCATAAAATTTATATAGCTCAAGAGACTACGTGCATGATATTGTATTAAGCCTTAATCTGTATCGATTGTTTGAATATAAGTATCACTGAAACGTTTCTATTAGATAGAGTGTGTACTCATTCATATTTTAAAAAATGGTAATTAGTTAAATGAATGACTTTAACTGTTACACGATTTGCTATGTTTGATATTTGTACTCATTAGTATTTAATAAATCTATGTAGATTTAAATCTTCTGTTGGCAATATATATTACTTAAATCATTACTGCTTATTATAATTACTACACTTTGACATACGATCAGTGAAATCAACTGAGTAAATGAGATTTTGTAGATGAGAATTTTATAAAATAAATTCATAAATGGAATAAGTAAATTTACAAGCTAATTGTATTTGGTAATAACTTTCGGATATGCATTACATTCACTGAATAATTCCTTTACTAGATTTATTTAAATGCGAGAAAGTGTTTTTTCTTTAGTCGACTCCTTAACATATCATAATTATAAAGGAACTAGTTTAGATCCTTGTTATCTCTTTGAGTATGCACACTAATAAAAAACCAATTACACCCTGTTAGTGAATTTCAAATAAAATTAAATGATCGCTGCCAACTTATCAGTTAATACAGTAAAATAATCAGGAAAATTACCATCTAATTTACATAATAGCACCTCTATAAGCAATATACACAAATTATCAATTACTGTTAAAATGGAGCGGTAGACTGGTTCATGATTTCTCACGAGCATGTATATTCGCATCAATTACTGAAAGTAAATACACAAATAAAACGCTATTTTAAACTTAGTAAAAGTTGGAAATGTTATTGGTGTATAAACGGGAGCAATGTGGATGTAGTTGGATATGTAGACTACACATCGTGTATTAGTTGAGTGTAATTCTATTGGATTGTTAAAACAGCAGTAAAGGTTGTTAGTATACATAAATAAGCACTTTAAAGTAGTCTATAATCATGGACAGCTTTTTACGATGAAAATGAGTATTCTACAGCTCACCGCTTCAGATATTAAATTCAATGACAGACTGAATAATCTTGAATGTAATAAGATAGTTCCACTGGTATTCAACTAGCTTTCTGTTTTAAATATATTATTATCTGTAACAATTTACTCAATGCTATGATAAAAATCAGTAAGCTCTCATAAGATAGTCTCAGAATTATAACTCTTTGTCTAATAATTGAAGTTTTGACTTTTCACTTGCATTAAATTCTTTCATTTTTTAATAGTAAAATGTTCAAACTTCTATCAGATTTGCCATAATTCACTGTCTAAACTTCCACAGCAAGGTCGACACGTAAGTACCTTCCTAGCGCCATCACTTTTCGAATTGATGAAGGTATATACTATTTCAATGGCAAAGGATTATTCAAGTGTCTTGATGTTAAATTGTTTGAATCCGATTGAGAAAATTGTACTTGTATATGCCTTTTCATTTTAGGCTATATATGTTAGTAAAATAACAGAAGGTGGAGCCGCTCATAAACAAGGCCAACTTCGAATTGGTGATCAAATTATTAGCGTAAGTTTTATATTCCCGCTCTAAATCTGTTGTAGATTTCTCTACTTATTATAACTCAATTTTTTAAACGATTTCCTTTGTGGTGTTTATCAATCTTTTCTGATAAGCACGATATTTAGGTTCCGGGCTAAACTTTCGCTTTTATGGTTATACTACTTACTATTTCTAAGTATTTAGATGTATCTTGGTGTTGACTACATCTTGTTTCAATACGATACAACGAAGAAACTAGCAGGGAAATATAGTAAACCAGAGAGACCGGTCAAAGACAAAGAAGGCAGGCCAATCACTGAAATTCAACAACAGAAGAACAGATGGGTAAAGTACTTCGAGGAATTCCTGAATAGGCCGACTCCAATGAATCCACCAGACATCGAAGCAGCACACACAGATCTTCCTATAGGTGTCAATCCACCAACGACGGAAGAAATCAGAATGGCCATCAGACAAATCAAGAACGGGAAAGCAGCAGAACCCGACAACATATCAGCTGAAGTCAGACATCGAAGTAACTACAAACATGCCTTACCTTCTATTCAAAAAGATTTGGGATGAGGAACAAGTGCCGATGGACTGGAAAGAAGGACACCTCATCAAGATTCCAAAGAAAGGAGATCTAAGCAAATGTGAAAACTACAGAGGCATTACACTACTGTCAGTACCAGGGAAAGTCTCTAACAGAATGTTGCTAAACCGGATGAGACGCAGTAGACGTCCAACTTTGAGACCAACAAGCTGGATTCCGGAGGGATCGATTGTGCACAGACCAAATGGCGACACTACGGATCATCGTCGAACAATCAATTGAGTGGAACTCGTCACTGTACATCAACTTTATTGGTTATGAAAAAGCATTTGACAGTGTAGATAGGGGAACCTTATGGAAACTTCTTCAACACGGAGTTCCTGAGATTGTCAACGACGGGCTATAGTGCAAAGTAGTGCATGGAGGACAGCTGACAGACGCATTCCAAGTAAGGACCGGAGCCAGACAAGGCTGTCTACTCTCTCCCTTCCTCTTTCTTCTGGTGGTCGACTGGATTATGAAGACCTCAACATCTGAGGGAAAACACGGCATACAATGGACAGCTCAGAACCAATTAGACGGTTTGGACTTCGCAGATGACCTAGTACTCCCATCGCATACACATGAACAAATGCAGATAAAGACAGTCAATGTAGCAGCAGTCTCTGCATCAGTAGGCCTCAACACACACAAGGGGAAAACCAAGGTCTTCAGATTCGAAACGAAGAACAGCAATCCAATCACTCTTGATGGCGAAACTCTGGAAGATATAGAATCCTTCACATACCTGGGAAGCATCATCGATTAACAAGGAGGTTCAGATGCAGACGTGAAGGCGAGGATTGGCAAAGCAAGGGCCGCATTCCTACAATTGAAAAACATATGGAACTCAAAACAACTTTCAACCAATATCAAAGTGAGGATCTTCAATATCAACGTCAAGGCAGTTCTACTGTACAGAGCTGAAACTTGGAGAAATACAATAACCACCATCAAGAAGGTACAAGTATTTATAAATAGCTGTCTACGCAGGATACTCAACATCCATTGGCCGGATACCATCAACAACAGCCTTCTGTGGAAGAGAACACACCAGCTTCCAACTGAAAAGGAAATTAGGAAAAGACGATGGAAATGGATAGGACATACATTACGCAAATCACCGAACTGCATCACGAGGCAAGCCCCAACTTGTAATCCTGAAGGGAAGCGTAAAAGAGGAAGGCCAAAGAACACATTACGTCGGGAAATCGAGGCAGATATGAAAAGGATGAATAACAACTGGGAAGAGCTGGAAAGGATTGTCCAGGACAGGGTTGGATGGAGAGTGCTGGTGAGCGGCCTATGCTCCTTCACGAGTAACAGGCGTAAGTAAGTAAGTGTTCCAATAGGTTCGACAATAATATTTATTATCGATCGTCTTTTTCGTGGGTTTTCACCATTGTATAGGGAGTTTTCAGCTTTAATTTTTTGTTGTGGTTGCTGATTTTGTCTTTTCGTACTTTATGAGGCGAAATTTCCGGAAATAATTTCTGCTAGTTGTTTTACTTTGTAAAGATGGAATGATGAATCACTTTTTCCTCTTAGCTAATCAAGCTGAACATTTATTTGAATAGTTCTTGATTATGGAGTCTTTCAAACTACAGCACTGTACTGCAGGTTCGATCGTCTTATAGATTAACAAAGTTCTTTTTAATTAAGCAAAAAGCTTATTTCCATAACATTCATTTGGACCACCTGTTACAAGTTATTTATTACATCAAAAAGAAACTTAGTTCACTCTCCCAGACTTACCTCAGCAGAAAACTGTTGCGAAAAACCTTTCGAGTGCAAATTATCGGAATAGCGTTTCTTTCATTTTCTATTTTTTAGATAAACGGTGTCGATATTAGAAACGCTCGTCACGATGAAGCTATTTCGTTGTTAACAAGTTCTAACGATTCAGTAGACTTGGAATTACTTCGTTATAATCCTGACACGACCGATAATCTCGATAGTCTTCCGAAAACATGTAAGCATATTTTGAATATTCCTACATTTTTTTTATCTTTAAAATATCTAGACATCATCATACTGGGAGACTGCATCAAAGTCATAGACAGTGATGTATTTGATTGATTGTTGCTGGGGTAGCTTTGGTATTTCAGAGTCTTGTGAGTAGTAATGTTCAGTGTTTCAAATCCACTACGTTTCCAGTCAAAAAGTAAGATAAAAAACGGTCAGAGTCAGTTTGTTTCTTATTTTTATCCTCCGAGACCAGCAAGACTGACCGAAAACATTTGTTGTTAAAATATATGCCATTATTTTAAAGATTCAATCAAACTTTTTTCTGATACCCAGAAATGGACCTAATATAGTAAACCTGTAATATTATACATTTGCGCTGACAATCCTCAATTCCAACATCAAATCAGGTATCGTATTTATTATTATTACTCTAGATAAATATCGCTTACCATATAGGCACAAGCCTTACAGGTATTTCAGTGAAGATGTAAATGTATGTATTATGCATATTGAAATTTGTGGTAGATTTTGATTCTTGTGCATAAATTTATCTCCAGTTAGTTATTATGACTTAAAATTTCCCGCGGAAATATTTGTTATTAAAATATATTCGTTAAATCTATCCTTTAGTGATGGTTTCGAGATCAAATAAATTCGTTATTTTTTTAAATAAGGGATAGGTAGGGTTCACAGTTTATCATCTTTTCCATTTTCGATATTCTACATTTCTGATGATTTCTGAAAGTTTTTTCTTTTTTTTCTTTTTAACAGCAGCTAACGGTTTTATAACGTCATCACCAATTCTGACAGTTAAAAGATCGAATAATCAACAAAATACTACGAAGGCTACAGATTTGACAAATACAGACAGTCATATTTCTGAGAAATGTGATTCTCGGGTTTACTTATATAGTGAAAAGGGTATTCCTGTGGAAAGAATTACGGTTCGAAATGATGGTGGACCTTTGGGTTTAGCTATCTGCGGAGGATCCGATATTAGTTGCCTTCCGTTTGGTAACAAAGAACCAGGTATTTTTATATCCAAGGTAATAGTCGATTGTTCGCAGATGAATCTCATTTCACTATGTTCCATGTTACACGCAGATTTATTTCTGTAAAGAAATCGTGTAATACAAAAAAGAACGCTTCGTAAGGGACTCATCCTGTTATACTGAGAAAACTGAATGCAGTGCTTAGCCTGATAAACTGGACGATGATAACTACTTTTCGTAAATATTTACTAAATGTCATATGCTTTTGATCTCCGACCAAGTTCAGAAAAGGCAAACTGATTAGGAGTTTTTATTGTTCAGAATCCTAATAGTACTCACAAATTTTTTTGAGGTGGCTGAACTGACCTCGGGTAGCTGATAAACTTCGTTAACAAAAAAATCCATTTACAATAGCTCGTTCATATTTACATCTAAACTATCATGCGACCCCATATAATCTGGCTTCTTTTACTCAAAATGTATGTAGAGAAATAAACCTTATGAAATGGAATGACAGTTTTTCGTTTTCACCAATCATTGCGTCAGACCAATATCGTGCAGTACATCTGTACAGGTAACATTCTCCCTTCTTCATTAGACGTATACGATCTGCTTGGGCAGTTGTTACTTCTTATTTTATCCAAACTTCCGTAAATAATGAAATTTCGAGAAAACCATGGACGAACTATCAATCAAATACTATTTGTATTAATTCGAGCTTTGGTGGTTGTAGAATTAAAGGTTCTTTTGACTGCAGAAAAACTGACTAGCCAGGAATGTTTGTGTATCATATTTAAGGGATTCATTTACTTCTTAATTCCGTAATCTTTACATTGATCATTATAGATCTCCCTAGATGGTGCAGCTCTTAATACTGGCTTACGTATCGGAGATAGAGTTCTTAAAGTTAATGGAGTCGACTTGAGGCACGCTACACATGATGAAGCAGTACAAGCTTTAATCCAGCCTGTTAAAGAACTGCAATTAGATGTACGGAGAGATCCTCCGCCACCAGGGTTAAGGGTAAGTTAAACACCAATTCTTCATATATGAAATCTGCCTTCAAATATTACCTTATCATTATGATGCGATATTTCCTTATCAATTCAGCGTATCACTGTGACGAAACGACCTGGAGAACGATATGGACTACGTGTAACAGGTGGACTTAACACTGGTGATAGTAACGTGATAACTAATTTAACATCACATTACTCATCACTAGCCAATGATGACGGAATATTTGTTACATGGGTTTCACCAGATGGTGTCATTGCTCGAGACGGCAGATTGAAGCCAGGTGACAGATTATTGGAGGTCAACGGACATTGGTTGATGGGAGTTACTCTTGATGAAGTTTTGCACGTAAGAATTTTTCCAATTTAACTTTATATTAAATAAGTAGATTCATACAGATCAGTTCTCCAAATAATAATAGCCGTCTTAAAATCATTGGTGAGGACCATAGTCTGAAGAAGAACCGTCTGACCTGTTTGATCACATTAATTCATGACTTTGGATAATATCATGCGTATCTACTAAGATGAGACGCTGTGATCAATTACATTTTCAAGTTAGTATCTGGTAACACTAACTCACCACATACGCACTACTGCATGAGTAATAATATTTTGGTTAAAGCAGATAATCTATAGAATGATATGTCACAGCTTTCATCAATTTAATTGCATAATGTTTACATTTTACGCAATAACCTGTTGGTTGATGAAAACCTCAAACCAGTTAATCAAGCGACCAGAACTCCTATTTTATGATACGAAACTAGTTTTTGTCATAAGTTAGTCAGAACCAGTTTATTTACATCTTGCCCGATTTGCAGATGAATTTCGTACTCACAGAAATTATATATGCTAAACATACTATTATTGTTATCTGTGACAAACCCTGTATGTCAAAATTCATATGCTTAAATCCTGAAACCCCCGTAGTCTATGTGAAATATTATCGTCCTGAGATTCACCTGAATATCTAGTGATTAGCGGTCATATACTTAAAACAACAGCAACAAACGAGGCAGTCCGCACAACGCAAAAACAAATTATGCCGAATAAATAACCGATTTTTGTAGTAATTATCATTGCCCCGTTTCAGTAAGTCCGGAATTATCATCGTGTATATCTTTATAATAAATGTTAATCTGTGCTGTCTAAAATGGAAGTGCATATTATTCTTGACAGATATTTTGGGAATCCAAATCGACTCTGTCATGTGTGGTATGCGATGGTCCAGTCGAATTCGCTCTCCAGATTAATAAAACAAGCCATTCAATGAATACTGAACCGTCTACATATTCTCCTGCTATGCCATTTTCTATCATACGCTCCACAATGCCAGAAATCGCTGATGCATCTGTCGACGATAATCCTACCTCTAACTCACAATTAGAGAAAGTAAACAGCATCCACAGATTGAACTCAGTAAGCAAATTTTTCAGTATCTTTGTTTGGAATCAGTTTCGAGTAGAGTTTAGAGGCTGCTCGATTTAAAGGTAGTTGTCGTCACAATCTGTTTTGATTGGAAACCATTAAAAAAAACTGTTATAATCTCTTTCTTACGGTTATGACCCCAGCTATTCCTATTGCTTAGTATTCTCGTACACCGATTCGCTCGACAAGTCCCCAAATCAGAACACGGTTGAACAAGAGAGAGATCATATTCCAAATAACAAGGTCAGATGGAAGCAAGAAGCCAGTAAGAAGCACAATAGGGAAAAACGTCAGTATATTTATAGTCTTTACATGAGATTCTGGAGTATTCTCCAACTATCGATTGGTGCTGATTGGATAAGAATTAGCCAATCAGTGTGCACCAAAGCAATCGTGCATTGAGCATGCTTTAATCCAGTGTATGTCCCGCTAACAAAAACAAAGTAGAACTGAGCAGCTATTCTATGGTAGCTTAGAAATCCACCTAGGGATCCGTCTCAAGACCTGCTATTTCTGCAGAATATATATAGAAAGCTTGTCTCCGTAAATAACTTTTGTATTTAAAAATAGTCTGATTAGTTAACCTGAACCCCTATTAACTCAACAGAAGTTAGGTTCGGTGGATTACCAAATAAGCATATATTTAATGAACTATGAATATCAACGTTGTTTCAATTTGTTATGTGAATACAGTGACGTCTTTTTATACTTCAGGAGGCTGCTGTGCGTCACTAGTATCAACTAAACTGAGTGGTGGTTGGCGCGACGGCACTCGTGGTGATATTTATATATACATTTTCTCTCTATTTCATTAACTTCAACTAGACTTTGAACCAATCTTTTAAATGACATAGCGATTTACTCACGCTTGTTATTTTGTTCCCTGTAAAGAGTTGTACAGCGCCTTATTAATTTTTTATAATTCCTTGCTCACAATTTTAGTGATGTAAGGACAATTGTGTATCTCCTTACAATCGATAGCACATACTCTGTGCGCTTATGTACTTTTTTATGTTTAAATTTCAATAAAAATGTTCCGTTTGTTTAAATACTCTTGACTTCAGTGGTTTTTTTTTCATAATTTTATTGAATTAGGCAATTATCCAAAACAGAGCGGAAAACATCAGTTAAACTCTGATAAAGTTTAAGAAAGTGTACAACTGTACAATCACTTACAAAAAAATGTTGATCATTAATACACAATGGATTGAAGAGAGCTATAAGAAAATAGAATAAGGATTGATAGCCAGTTTTAAGGAAATAAACAAGATCATGGTGTTTAGGTAGAATGCAAAATGAAGGTCCAGTTATCGAGACTTGGGAAATACTGTGATAGAACAGCCACCATCAAGTGGGACAAGTTGAACAGGGTCCAGGATAACCAACATTATCACACGAGGAAGGTATGTAACAGAAGTTCGAATTATCTACAATACATCATCTACGAAAGACAGATTAGGTAGATGTTTTCGCACTTCAATCGCGTCCATTAGCTCTTGCAATGATGTTTGTCTGAATAAGAGAAATACAAAGTATACGTTGCATCTCGACTAACGAATTAACACGCTTTTTGATTGAGATCATGAACCGAATGATGTTAGACCATCATTGAAAACCTGGAAGATTGGACATTAACACAGTTGAATGCCGGCTCAGTGGGCTAGAGGTTAAGTGTTCGCGTGCGAAACTGAAGGCTCTGGGTACGAATCCCGCGAGCGAGATCGTGGGTACGCATGGCTGAGGAGTCCCGTAATGTGACGAAACGGCCGTCCAGTGCTTCCACATCTTCAATAGTGGTCTTACATCAACCGTCTCATGATCTCCACAACCGTATACTGATAATAAACAAACTGTTTTATACCAGCAAGATGACAGGTAAATCTTTACTTATGTCCATATGTAGCAAAAATAAATTTAAAACCTTATTTTGAATAGTTACAGTAGTGTACGGAACGAAAGTGATTAATGTACTTGAGTATCTAAACGTTTTCTATTCCTCAATAACGAGTGGCTGCGTCTTCTCTTATATACTTGTAGATTACTCTGGTTGATCACAGAAGAGCCAATTAACACTGCCATAAGCAGTAACTAATTCTCCACATTTTGCTACCTATTTATCTTATGACTGTCCTGAAATTTGAGACATTCGAAAAATTATTTATTTTATTACGAAAACCTATTTTCCTAAACGGTTAGCGTGAAATAGTCTTTTTAGGTTGTACAGATAATCACAGCAGATGGGAGTTTAAGAAAACTAGTGGTTACCGCTTTTGTGTAACTCTTTGATCGTTAGTATGGAAACATAAGGTTATAGTCCATGATGATTGATGTCTACACTAATAATAGTTTATAATTTTGACCATTTTCCAAACAAACTTTTTTCGTTGAGCGGTAGTCTTAAAGATTCGGATGGCATGTGAACCCCTGGGTCGAAAATATCTAGGTAAAACGGTCGGCTGCTTTTTGCTCTAACAAGCAACATTGACCAGCTACGACGTACATAAAAACCTGTCATATACCGACTAGTTAATACCAATCGCTCAGTTTACTAGGTGCAGTTGAATCCTAATTGGTACTACAGTGAAAACCACGTTCAAATACTAGGAACAAATAAATTTATCACCATAATAAATAAGGTTTTCAACTTATTGCTAACATAAAAGTAAATCATAAGAATACTAACCACAGAACTAAATACTTTTCTATACTCACTTCTCTTTATGAATTGCGAGTTTTGCTTCACTTATTCGAACTAACGCGCGCAACTTTTTGGATTCAGCTGACAGCTCCCCATAAAGAACGCTCTGTAGTCGATCGAAATTTTTCGACTCAATTTGAGCCTGAAACAAGAAAATATTAATTTGAATAAAGATTATGACAAAAATGGGGGTTTTGATTATCATTTCACAGGGGTTATACTTACTTCTTGTTCAAGACGTTGTAAAGTATCATCTTGATATTTAGAAATAAATATGGGATCAAAAAAAGACTTCATCTCGAAGCTGTTTAGAGTATCCGTAAACTTTTCTGATCTAGACCCACTTTCCGACAGTGCAACAGGTGAGAAACCTCTTTTAGTTGTGACGTCAACTGCCATAGCGGTAGAATGACTTGAACGAACTGATGGGGAAACAGAAGTAGGACTTGGTAAATTTGCAATCTCCTTTTTGACGACGTCTGGTGTATGTCCAGTTGTATTAGCGGATTTGCTAACATTTGAAAAATTACAAGCAGGTACAGGGGATGCTGATGTGTCTAGTCCGGGATTGCCTTTATTGGACAGAAATGAATCGGTATTCAATCGATTGGAAGAGCTAGTTCGTAACACCCTTAATGAAATTTAAGAAAATCGCCGCATCATTAAAAAAAAGCAATGTACAACATTTATATTTAGATAAATAATAATCTCAACTGAGAATATCTGTGTACAAAGCGATTATTTTTAGAGCTTGAAAAATATTTGAGTAATGGTTCATAGCGGTCACGTTTGACCTTTTCAAAGATAAACAAGTTCACTAATTCCCTTATTCAAAAGCACATTTTAGTATACAGTTGAAATGGCTGCCACAGAAAACCGCTATGCGGACAAGCAACTGACTAATTAGATAATGTAATTTGATTTCGAAAGATAATGACACAAAAAGTCAGTTGCCACGTCCAGATCGGTACATGTGCCTCTAAATGCAATCGAGAGTGTGTAGAGTCAACTATCCCTCTCGAAATGCTCTCATATGGCCACGCGTATACAACCTCTGACAAGGAAGTACTGCTCACTTCCTTCTCAAGGCAAGGGTAATGTTTACGAAATTGAGAGAACAAAAGGCGAATGTCCGACGCTCTAACCAGGTTGGTGGATACGGAGGATCCACCTAGGGGAGTTGGAAAACCATGGTTCCAAGCCAATAGTGCACATGGGCTCTAGGATCCTGAGCGAACAAACGGTGTATGAACCTATTGTTGGTCACCGGCTACTATGGGACTGCATCTCCCAACGTTGCTCCACTGTCTTGTGCATTGGACCTGTAGGTCAAAGGCTCGGGGTGTGGCCCCTAAGGGAACCACCTGTTTCAGTTTGGGTGTTCGAGCAGTATCCCAGTCTTCACACAAGTCGAGTGACTTGTGTGGGTCATATTTATTTGGCGCCTCTCTGTACCAATATTTATGTGTTCAAATGAATTAATAAATCATATAAGTACGTTTGTCCACCGGTTAGTGTTCCACTCATTGGTTTTGACAAACGGAAAAGTCTTTATAACTTTATTATGTTGTAAATTCCCCAAATTGGTCTATTTCATTGTTTGTGTGGCGCATATTTATTTGGTTCCCCTCTGTACTAATGTTTATGTGTTTGAATAAATAGAAATAAACGTGTGCACATCTTTTCATCTTGCCATACCCTATTAGCACACATGAAATTGTTAGACTAAACACTAGAATAGTAGATGCAGTATCAGTGGTGAGTAAAAAGATTAGGCGTCGAAGATTCGATTCGAGAAAAAATAAATTACTGAAATAAAAACAAAAGTTACAAGGAATTTAGAATCACGAGACTTAGGGGGAGAAATAGAAAGGATGCACCTGCGCCATTCTAAACAATTTCGGGCCATTTCATTCATGGTCTCTAGCCATGAGTTACAGCAATCGCGCGGACCTAAACCAGGTGGTCTACCGTTAACGTGATTCAGTTCAATTGTCATTGTCTTCATAAACTGGTACCACATTCTGGTTTGGGCGCCCCTAATTTCTTTCCTGACTACCCATCCATCAGACAACATTGGTGGTTGGGTACACGCAATACATGTCCTAACCAGATCAGTTGATTAAGGTTCACTACCTCATCAATCGACTTTCTATCTTTACCTCGTTCCCTGTTCCTGACCAAGGTATTACTAAGTCGATAGCCTCAAAGTACATCAGCAATGCTCCGAAGACACCTATGATCGAATTCCAGTAACCTACGAATATCCTCAACACCTAATAACCATGTTTCACATCCACAAATTAGAACGGAACGAACTGCTACTCAGTACACAGAAAGGTATACAAAGTAACACCTTGGAAATTTCTCGACAGTTATCAAATACGAAAGAAGCCATGGGTATTTGAATCATGTGTTGCCGTGCCACTCCACCGCTTATGCAATACTGGCTTACTACATAAAAGTTTGGTAGCCGAACTAAAATATGACAATACTTTATAACAACACTAGTAATACGACCAGTGCATGGAAATCTAAGAGTCAAGTTACTTGTCCCACTGCTAATAAGATTTAGGCTTCTAAAAACTTTCTGAACGTACGATGGTCTACTCCGGTAAACCGCAAGTTCAATGAGATGCACATGACCGTAATTCTAAAACTTTTGCAGAGTGTGAATGAAACCAAAAAACCTGGTGACCAGAGTGCGCTGCTGAGCTCAAAGAAGCAACAGCATCTGGCAACGACTGGAACCTGGTTAACCCATTTGAACCATTGGAAGCAAAAACCTGATCTCCGCGAAATAAATTGTGAAGTCGGTAGCACGCCAATTAATAACCTTTAAGTGTCTCAAATCCTGCACAGAACACTTTGAGGGACAGATCAACTGGTCTGTCGCTTCACCAAAGTCGATCAGACTGTTGTACGACCCTTGGCTAGTGACTACAAGTTCACTTAATGAAGTGGAAATCAGTAAGATATCACCAAGCGTGGAACAGATTAAAATTTAATGATCCTGCTGTAGTTTTTCATTTTCCTCTCCATAAAAGGAGGATGGACCCTCTTAAGTGAAACAAAACCTAGCTTATTAGAATTCCTTGTTGAGCACAATTTTTCCTCAGTTATTCGGATTTAAAACCGATCCCTTATCTATATCTTCAAAATATTAGCGGTTACGTGGCAAATTGTAGTGCCCTAGAATTTTGTATGCTATAAATAAGAAATATCAATGCCCTAGAAGCATTTACAATACCCTTAATATTACCTATAGAAAAAATTTATTGTTAAACTTTGTCTAAGAAAGTCTAAGTAGTAAATTCATAATGATAAGCTGATAACACTAAGAAGAATAAGGAATTGTATACTCCATATTTGGGAGAAGGGAAAGCTGTAATAAGATTTGGAGTGATTCGTGCTTTAGGTCGCAAATCATGTCTGTTAAATGGAAGCTGAAGATACCATCTAATTTTCAGGACGCCTATAGGTCGAATATGCCCTGAAATATTGAAAAGTGCCTCAGCCAAATAGAGGACTTTAAGTGATGAAAATTACGAAAAGTAATTTTATACTGGTACTCATCATATCATAAATGAAAAGGGAAGTGCCAATACTTTCTATATGCAGCGAACTTACGCGCTCTGTAATGGAAAGGTAGGGCTAACATGAGTTGTCGTAGAGATGTTATCTTTGTTCTCAAGACCTACCAGAATATAAGAAAATAAAAATACATTGGTGAAATTAATGTTTTGCCCAACACGTATATAATATTTTATATACATTACACTATTTATCACAAAAACCTAGAATTGAAGAGATATTACATTTGTCAAAACAGATTGACTAACTACTTGCGAAAAGAATTCACTCATTATGTCAATTTTGGTTACGTTTATTAACAAAACAATAGTACGTTTATGAGTAAATAGTCAATCTTAGAAAACATTAATGCAGATGCTGAACATAAACCTCCACTTCATCTGGTTCATATTCCAGGGTACTAGGCCACTGGTCATAACTGCAACTACTAATAATAAGAAAATCAATCGTCTTTGGTAGGCAGACATTTGCAACTGTGATTAACTGGGAAAGATAAATATGGATAAATCAACGAGATAAGATGTATAATTTATATAACTGAGTCACGTAAGACAGTGAGGATAGTTCTATGTAATACAGAATCTAGTGTTTAGTTTAGGACATGAACCATATATTGTTGCACAAAGTTAGCAGCTGTATAACCTTAACTCAAGATCCTCTTATAATGAACCCAATACCAAGGTGTAATCAACTCTTATCTATTGACCCGTAAAAGCAACCAAAAACAATGAAATAGATCAATTTGGGGAATTTACAACATAATAAAGTTATAAAGACTTTTCCGTTTGTCAAAACCAATGAGTGGAACACTAACCGGTGGACAAACGTACTTATATGATTTATTAATTCATTTGAACACATAAATATTGGTACAGAGAGGCGCCAAATAAATATGACCCACACAAGTCACTCGACTTGTGTGAAGACTGGGATACTGCTCGAACACCCAAACTGAAACAGGTGGTTCCCTTAGGGGCCACACCCCGAGCCTTTGACCTACAGGTCCAATGCACAAGACAGTGGAGCAACGTTGGGAGATGCAGTCCCATAGTAGCCGGTGACCAACAATAGGTTCATACACCGTTTGTTCGCTCAGGATCCTAGAGCCCATGTGCACTATTGGTTTGGAACCATGGTTTTCCAACTCCCCTAGGTGGATCCTCCGTATCCACCAACCTGGTTAGAGCGTCGGACATTCGCCTTTTGTTCTCTCAATTTCGTAAACATTACCCTTGCCTTGAGAAGGAAGTGAGCAGTACTTCCTTGTCAGAGGTTGTATACGCGTGGCCATATGAGAGCATTTCGAGAGGGATAGCTAACTTTACGCACTCTCGGTCGTACTAGGACATTTGGGGGTCAAATAAATCCATTCTCCAGAAAAAGTTATCTTTCTTTGTTATCAGTGTCATCAGAATTATACGGCTGACGTGTACAACCGACCCTGACCATGAATTACACTATAATTCAGTTACATTTCCGAATTTGTGCATCTGAAGTAACCAATATGGTAACTCGTTGACAGTTATCAACTGTAAATTGTACACTCTTTGACTACCTAATTAATCAAATTCGCTGTGTATAGGTCTACAGGTGCAATATACAACTGTATTGTATCTTGAAATAGACAGTTCAGTTACTTAACTTTAGTCCAAGACAAATTACTAAAAACCACAATATGCTGGCTGTGAGACATTGTAGAAATCCATAAATTTATCTATGATTGTTTTTGTTTGAAAATTTAAGTCTTTCGAGTCGGAATTGAAGATAACTTAGTTGATAATTGAAGTAAGAGATGTAGGAAAGACGAGTGATTTGTTAGAAGATTCATAATTTATTTTCTGCACAGCTATATGCAAAAATCAAAAATCACACCCTCACTGAGCAATTTTTACGCCACAGTCAAACTGGATTTGCTCAGGAAACAACGAAAAAACTTTCATCATGTCTAACAAACTGAAATAATACGTCTGATCACAGATAGACGACGTATTCGCTTCTGACAACCGAAACAGTTCTAATTGTCTTGGTGATCGCTACCTTCACCTGTTCTAATAGTGAACAACTGGTTCATCCTCCTTTTAAACTCAATCATTTATTGACTTTTCAAGATTAATTTCCTCAACATGTCTAAACAATTATTCTCGGTTGATTATCACTCCTACTCCCATATCTTCTGCTTTCCTTACTTACTATTGAGTATCATCTTCAGAGTTCCAGTCACATGTTTAATTCACCAGCTAAACATGGGTGTTGAACAGCTCTTATCGAGGAGAGCTATGACGCCTCGTGGTGGAACTTGACATTCTTAAGATAACGCAAGATTGGTCTCCCTTCTGACAATCAAAGCAACAATTAATGCAGGTATGTGGAATGTCCGAACAATGTATGAAGCCGGGAGGATTATTCAAATGGCTAATGAAAGTGAGGAGATATAACCTAACTTTGCTTCGAATATGTGAAGCCGATTAGACAAAATTTGGGCAGAAAAGGCCAACTTCGTGAGAGGTGGTTTGATAACCTGGTTATGAATTGATGAAATCCATTGATATCAGCAAAATATTGCTTTTGCTTCGGAGCCCAATGTGTTCTAGTACAAAATCGTAAATCCAGCTAATATGCCTATTACAGGTCAACAGATAGGTAACTTCAAGACTAACGAGCTGGGTTTCGTAAGGATTGGTCATGTACTGACCTAGTCGCAACATTTCTGATCATTGTTGAGCAATCAATTGGAAGGAAAGTGTCGTTGTAAATTGACCTAGATTATGAGTGCACTCAACAATGTATACAGAAAGTTTGTGGAATCTTCTTGGACAATTCGGAGTACCTGCGATCATCAACATCATACAGAACTCTAATGGTAGACTGAACTGCATATTGAAAGCAGCTGACAAATCCACTCCAAGTGAAAACCGGAGTTAGATAAGGCTGTTTACTCTAGCCCTTTCTCTTTTTTCTGGTGGTCGGCTGGATTATCAAGAGACCTCCACATTTGAGGGGAAGCCTGGAAAACAATGGACAGCCTGTATGCAGCAACATGACCAGGACTTCGCAGATGACCTATCTCTTCTATTCCCTACACAACAACAAATGCAGGTGAAGACACCCAATGTAGCAGCAGCAGCAGCTGTAGTTGGCCTCAACATATACAAGGAAACAAGAGAGATACTGGAATACAGCTCAGTGAGCGCCATCAAAATCAAACTTGGAGCTATGGAAGAGGTGGAAGCTTTGACGCACCCGGACAGCATCATTGAAAAGTAAAAAGGATCTGATGCAGATTTGAAAGAGTGCATTAGGGAAGTAAGGCCAGCATACCTATAATCGAAGAATATCAGAGAATCAAAACAACTTCTCGTCAACACCAAAGTCAAATTTCCAGCTCTAACGTAAAAACAGTTCCATCGTACGGAGGTTAAACTTGCAGAACTATTACAACCACCACCAAAACGACAAAAGTACTTATAAAAACCTATCTACGCAAGATAATCCAGATCCATTGTCCAAGGAGCATTAGCAATAACGTACTGTGACAGAAAACAAACCAGCTTTCGGTTAAGGAAGGCAATGGTAAAAGACGTTGGAAGCGCATAGGACACTATGCGAGTCAGTCAGGACAGTCACATAAATGGACAAATATGTATTTTCTAGCTTGACTAATGGTTCAACATCCAATTATCAAAGCAAAGGTGACATAAACGTTTATTTATTTACTACAGATAACACTATTTCATACTCCACAAGAGACTAGGGTTCCGAAATTCGAGGCTGTCGACGACAACTGACTTCAAAGATCTGAGATGAGATTCTCTCCCTCGAAATGCAAAATGTTGCTTCAGGATTGGGTTACATCGACACCCGAACTAGTGATAGGGAGTGAAGTAGTTGAGTGTGTCGACCGCTTCACTTATCTTGGAAGTCTGATCAGCCCTTGTGGTCTGGTGTGTGACGAAATCTCAGCACGGATACAGAAGGCTCTACTAGCTTTTGCCAACTTGCGTCATTTATGGCGTAGGCGAGATATCCGTCTATCAACCAAAGGACGTGTTTACTGTGCAGCAGTTCGTTCCGTCCTACTTTATGGCAGTGAAACATGGCCGGTAAGAGTAGAGGATATCCGTAGGCTACTAGTATTTGATCATAGGTGTCTTCGAAACATTGCTCGTATATCATGGGACCATCGATTAAGTAACACAGTTGTTAGAAAACGGGTACTAGGTAAGGATGGCAAATCAATTGATGACGTAGTGAAACTTCATCAGTTGAGATGGCTGGGACACGTGTTACGTATGCCCAACGACCGACTACCTCGACGTGCTATGTTCAGTGGTATAGGAGTAGGTTGGAAGAAAGCTAGGGGCGGCCAAACCAAAACATGGCACAAGTCCATGAAGTCACTGACAAGTGAACTGAGTCATGTTGGTAGGTGTAGACTACCTGGTTGGGGACCGCGAGATGATAGCAACCGATGGTTAGAGACCCTGAATGACATGGCTCAAAATCGTTTGCAATGGCGCAGGTGCATCCACTCTCTGTGTTCTCTCAAATTCTAATCTTCTGAATTCTTCATGTCCCTTTTTTCCTCTTTCCAAATTTATTTCACTGGATTATACTCTATAAATAACATCTCCAAACCCTAATCTTCCCGATTACTGCTTATACTCTTGCTACCTCTACCACTATGGGATTTGAATGGACAACTGTATCTCTGTGCTAATGTGGTGTGGCAACTCGAACTGATGTACGTACGTACGAAGTTCTACGTTGATACTGACTGACTGACTCAAAGATCTGACTAATACCTTGATAAGCTGAAAAGATAATAATGAACCAGACATCTAATCAAACGTTTTTTCTACAACATAAAAGATGTGGTAGTGTAAGAATGGTGACTTTCACCTCTAAACTTCCTCTTTCGGCTTCCTCCACAAATGTCACCATAGCCAACGATTCTAGTGCTCAAAACACTGTCCCAGGTCTACTGAAACCTCGCTCCAAACTACACATTGGAGCCTTCAATGTACGCACCCTATGCCAAATCGGTCAACAGGCTTCCTTGGTTAGAACCCTAGAATCTCGTACCATTAATGTATGCTGTGTCTCTGAAACACACATACAGGATCCCAGTGTGGTCATTCACTTGACCTCACCTCGGCAACACGGAGAGCCAACGAGATACACCCTCAGTGTATCTGGTGACCCGAGGGCCAGCTCTCGTGGACTGGCAGGAGTAGGGATAGCACTAAGCATGAGGGCGGAACAAGCACTGTTAGAGTGGATCCCCGTCAACAATCGTCTATGTGCTGTTCGGCTAAACGGCTCCGTAAGAACTCGGAAGGATAGGGACACAGGTCGTTGCCTTTCTGTCGTTTCTGCCTACGCTCCCACCGACTGCAGCTCAGATGAAATGAAAGATGAATTTTACAGAAAGCTATCTGAACTTCTTCAGAAAGTTAAACGTTCAGACATAGTGCTCGTAGCAGGTGACTTTAATGCCCAGATAGGTGGTTTAAACCAAACAGAAAGGCATTTAGGTGGGTATTTTAGTATTCCGGCACAACGAACAGATAATGGTGATCGTCTGCTGCAACTGTGCTCAGACAATCGTTTATTTTTAGCAAACACAAATTTTAAGCATAAGGAGAGACATTGTCTAACATGGCGACCCTCTACACCAAACCAACGATGGACTCAAATAGACTATATTGACATCAGTCATCGTTGGAGAGGGTCGGTAGAAGATTGTCGCTCATTTTGGAGTACCTGCTTGGACTCCGACCATGCCCTAATACGGGCACGCATCTGCTTGCGCCTCACTGGACGCAAAAAAGGCACATTCAAAAGACCCATTAGAACTGAGTTGAGTAGCGAAAAAACCAAAAGTAGGTTCCAGGAACAACTGAGTTCACAATTAGGTAGTTCTGAGAACGAGACTGACCGAGATGTTGCTTGGAAAGATATACAAACAGCTGTGGAAACAGCAATGAATTCTATTAGTGAATTAAACCACAGGGTTACAATTTATTTATTTATTTATTTGAACACATATATATTGGTACAGGAGTGCGCTAAATATATATGCGCCACACAAAACAATGAGAATGTAAAGAAGAAAAAGAAAAAAGTGGGGAACGTAAAACAAATATAAAAAAAAATACCGAAGAGATTGGTGTAAGGTAGTGTAATAATAATAGTAATAGTAGGGGAACAGAAGGGTACAATCAGAAGAAATCTTTCAGTTAAGGAAGATACAACCACGTTTTATGGAGAAAGTAAAAGAAGGTTACAGCATGATCGCCACTGGCTTCTATTCTGAGCCATATCTGATAACGCCTCTAGCCACTGTGTTGTACCATCTCTCGGACCCCAATCAGGGAGTCGTGAAGGACCAACACAAGCCAGCCATTTGCAGCTTTCTTTCATACCACGACATCATGTCATACACCGACCACCTCTCCGCTTTCTCCAACCAGTCCCAGAGTCGGCAAATAATGCACGGCGTGGAATTATCTGGGACGACATTCGTAGAACATGTCCAAGCCACCGAAGTCGATGTTTCAAGATGGTGACACCGATTGCATTATCATCTCTGTGCCCGAACACACGATGCCGAACCTCTGCATTACTGACATGATGTTGCCACTGGATGTCAGCAATCCTTCGGAGACAACGATGATCAAACACAATCGTATGCCATCCTCAACTCGAAGAGGCCAGGTTTCACAAGCATAGAGCAAAACTGCTCTCACCGACGCGTTGTAGGTCCGACCTTTTACAGCCAGACTAACATCACGAAGGCATCAAAGATGGTCCAGATTGGCATAAGCCGCTCTGGCTTTCACTATACGTGCATTGATCTCATCACTCACGCCACCACCAGCACTTATGCAGCTACCTAGATATACGAACTTCTCGACTACTTCTATCTGATCACCATCCAGGGTGAGTACAGGATTAGAATCCTGCCAGTCTTGTAGAAGTACTATGCACTTCAAAGGTGCAAAGCACATAACATACCTACGGACACTGATTGCTAACGGATTAAGTGAGAATTGCATGGTTTGGGCATTATCGCACAGTACGACAATATCATCCGCATACTTAAGGTCGAGAAGTCTTTCTCCAGGCAACAGATCCACACCGCCATTACCTACATCCATCAGAGCTGTTTCCAGAATATCATCGATGGCAAAGTTGAAGAGGAATGGCGAGATTGGGCAACCCTGCCTAACCCCACTGCTTGAATGGAACAGTGAAGAGAGGTGGTTGTATGCCCTCACTCTGCCTGAGGTGTTTGCACATAGGGCCTTTAGGATGTTAATAAACTTCTCAGGCACATCCTTCTTCAATAGACAATCCCATAGAACATTCCTATCCAACGAATCGAAGGCAGCCCTGATGTCAAGAAACACTACGATTGTTGGCCTTTGAAAAGTATGACGGTGTTCTAACATTTGGCGGAAAGTGAAGATATGATCAATACATCCTGGACCGGAACGAAACCAAGCCTGCTCCTCGCGAGTCAATCTTTCTCGGGTTTTGAACAACCTACGAAGGGTTACAAAGAACCAATGGATTTCCTCAAGGTCTATTGCACTGATGGATTCTCGTAAACTCATCCCACCAGGCTCTGAACACGATGAAGAGCGAAAACAAATCAGATCTAGGTTAGGCAAAAGTCTAAGGAACGACCGTGAGCAGTGGTGGGCAACGAAAGCAAAAGAGATGGAAAAGGCGGCGGCTATAGGGAACACAAGACAGCTCTACAGACTAATAAAAGAAACTGGAATTAATAAATCAAGTGTAAGTCAGACTATTTCGGAAAAAGACGACGCCCTCATCTGCTCTCAGTCCAGACGTTTAGAACGATGGGCGGAACATTTAAGAGAACAGTTCAGCTGGCCTCCAGCTACTCTACAACTACCCCCCATTCCCAGACAGTGTAAATAGAACATTGAAGTAGGTTCCTCAACCCTAGCAGAAATTCAAAAGGCTATAGTTAATCTGAAACGAGGAAGGGCAGCTGGTCCAGACGGTCTTTAAGGATAGTGGTTCAATTTTAGCGATTAGGTTGACTAATATTTCAAATAAGATCTGGGAGTTAGACGTTATTCCATCTGACTGGTCACAATCACTTATCGTCCCAATATATAAGAGAGGGTTAAAATCACATCCTGTGACAACCATAGAGGGATTAGTTTAACTAATATAGTATCTTAAATATTAGCTTCGATAATTATCAGAAGCCTAAGACTCGTGAACTGCAAACACGAGAGAATCAAGCTGGCTTCAGACCTGGTCGTGGCTGCATCGACCACATATTCACCATTCGTCAGGTTCTAGAACATAGGCATACTTATCGGCGTCTGACAATGGTGGTCTTTCTCGACTTAAAAGCAGCATTTGATTCGATAGACCGTGACATTCTGTGGCAGTGTCTGTCATTGAAAGGCGTACCTCAGAAGTACATAAACCTTGTGAAGGCTCTTTACTCGAACACTACCAATCGAGTCAGAGCTTATGGCGAACTGTCATCTGCTTTTGCAACCTCAAGTGGTGTCCGTCAAGGCTGTCCACTTTCTCGATTTTTGTTTAACTTCATCATAGACTTATTGATGGAAATAACATTCTCGTCTACTGAATTCTCGGGTATTGATCTTCTTCCAGGAGGTCCACTTATCGACTTAGAACACGCAGATGATATAGTCCTGTTTGGTGAAAACGCTGATAGAACGCAGTCTTTTGGTAGCACTAAGCAACAATGCCAGAATGTTTGGAATGCGCTTCTCTCCCTCTAAATGCAAGTGTTGCTTCAGGACTGGTCTGCGTCAACACCTGAACTAAGGATAGGGAGTGAAGTAGTCGAACGCGTTGACAACTTCACTTATCTTGGAAGTCTGATCAGCCCTAATGGGTTGGTGTCTGACGAAATCTCAGCACGGATTCGAAAAGCTCGTTTGGCTTTTGCCAAATTACGTCACCTATGGCGAAGGCGAGATATCCGTCTATCAATTAAGGGATGAGTATACTGCGCGGCAGTCCGTTCTGTTCTACTTTACGGCAGCGAAACATGGCCATTAAGAGTAGAAGACACTGGTAAGCTACTAGTATTTGACCACAGATGCCTCAGAAATATTGCTGGCGTCTGCTGGGATCACCAGGTAAGTAATAGTGAGGTTAGACGCAGGGTATTAGGGAATAATGGTAAATCAGTTGATGAGGTTATGAATCTTCATCGATTGAGATGGTTGGGCCACGTGTTACGTATGCCCGAACACCGATTTCCACGACGTGCAATGCTAACCGGCGTTCGGGATGGTTGGAAGAAAGTTAGGGGCGGCCAAACCAAAACGTGGCATCAGTGCTTGAAGTCACTAACTTCTAGTCTGAGCCATGTTGGTAGATGCAGACTACTTGGTTGGGGTTCGCGTGACTGTCGTAACCAATGGTTGGAGACTCTTGGTGACATGGCTCAGAATCGATCACAATGGCGTCGGTGTATACACTCTCTATCTTCCCTTAAACTACGAGATTAAAATTGCTTCATATCTTTCTTTCTACGAACTAATTCTTTCTTGCTGTACTATATCCTTATTGCAATCTTTCCTTTATATATTACCACCTCTGAATTGACTACTTTTATGAATCCGGTGTCCATCTTGTTGTGTTAATGAGGTATGGCAACTTGAACTTATGCATAAATGTGCCTGGTCCTACGTTGTAGCTGACTGACTGACTGATTGTAATAAAATGAACTTAAATTTCGATTTTGTATATAGATAGCTCGAAGTCACGGAACAGCTAATAAAGCGTACGAAATTATTTCCATGTCTTATTACTGAAACTCTATTTACACAATTGCAGGTTACACATAAACTGACATAGACAGACAGAATCTAACAAACTGACAAATGCTTTTGATAGCTGATTTCTAGGGAAGAGGTAAACGTCAGTAAACAGAAAAGCAATACCATGATCACAAAGATTGTTTAAAAACATTCAACGGACTTGTTGTAACAGAATTAATACCCTATCTAACATGACTGTTTATAAAAACAAATATTCATCTAAACTGACCTTTTTTATTGACAGGAAGATCTGAATCCGGACAAGTATTGAGACGATTATTGGACTGTACGGATGTTGCAGGATCTCCAGACATATGGTTGGAAGTATGGTGATGCAGAGCTGCTTTCAAAACCTGTACAAGATCATTTAACTGGGTATGTTGTGATCGAGTGTTAGGATTTACGGAATCTCTGTTCACTAGAATGTACAGTACGAAAAACGAAACAAACTAGTCAGTCAAATTATACCAATACTGAATAACTGACTCACGATGGTTTTTTAATTATTTAATTATTTCTAATTATTTATTGGTCTGGATAAAATGTACCTCGTAAACCTATAAATCAGCTGTCGAAAGTCACGTTTTACTACCACAGAACAATATTAGTCGCTAAACCAATTAGTTTGTGAGCGCTGTACGATGGTAAAACCATTTTAAAACGTATAGATTGATATTAATAATAAAACGTCCACTTTTTTGAATAAAGTGAAATTAATAAACTTAGAATTACTTAACTCAATCTGCAAGAATGATAAAACGCCGGACCCGCTTTTGATAAACCACATTTTAGAACAACCGAGCGTTTGACAAATTCACTTACATGAATGGTTGGTTTGAAGGGTTTGTGAAATGGGTGCTCGAGTGGCATGTCCAGGTGACGTGGATCCTTTTAGATTTTCTGGTAATCTGCTAGAGCTAAGTGACACATTTCTGTTGAAATTGTGTTCCTCAGTTGTACTTTGACAGTGAGCTTGTTCAGCCAAAATTTCGATGATCTTGTCAACTTGACGTGACGACAGATCATAATGAGATAGAGAGACACAAGTTTGATGTGATGCACTGGAAACAGATGTGGTGGTATTATTTGGATTATGTGGACTGCAAATCACAGCTGGACTATTCTGATGCGAAACACTACAGCAAACAGGATGAGTTGCGTTAGAAGGGAAACGATGGTTTTCGCCCTGAGAAGTGACGGGATTGGGATATGCTGGACTGTGACTAGAGCTTACTGTGCGTCTTGGATCGCCCATCGAATATAGTATCTGAGAAAACAAAGCCAGACGATAAAAGATAACGTAAATCGAGCTATACAATTGTCGCACGGCTAGTTCTACGGTTTTTGACGGTTGACAAACATTGGAACGAGCATTCAGTTATCAGACTGAATATAATGTCACAATTACTGTTGACAAAGTCGCCAATAAGACTTCAGATTATTCTGTTTTGGAGTATATGTTACATGAAATTAAGATAGTTTGCCGTTTGTTCTAAGTATCACTTTAAAAATCGACTCTAGCAAATTCACATAAACTATCAACTTTTGCTTGTTAATCGGAAGGCTTTTAATTACATATAATGACCAAAATTTGACCACAAATATGTGAATGAGGGCAAATCATAAGGAAAACCTAACCAAATAAATTAAACTTTTTGGTATAAACCATTGAAACGATATCAGTAAGTGGCATTGTGGAGGCGCCACAATGATAAAAGGCATATGACGTAACGATTGCCACAAATACGGAGCTTGGAAAGTAATTTTAGTGACGAAAATTCATGCAAGGATCATAAGCAACTGTGGATAATTTTCCATTTAGCAGTTTTTGAACATTCATGAAGACAGTAAAATATATCAGTCAGTCGAACCTAACGTAGAACCTGACATCAGTTCAGGTTAACACACCCCATTAGCAAAGTGAAACGAAATTATTAAGGCAAATCTCAGAGTAGTATATGTGGTAACATGATTAATGATAATAGAAACCACATATCGAAGATGTAATTCGACGGGGAAAATGAATTAGTGAAACGATAGAGAAGAATTTGAGGATTGTAGAAGTCTAGATTCTAGAAGACAAAGGGTGAACGCAGCTGATTCATTGCACCGCCATATGAGCATGATACGACTTTATTAGAAAACAGGTCTCTGTAAAATTGATGTTAAAAGTTACGTTATAATAACAACACTCCTGGTATGATAAAAAACAGGTTTGAGCATTTCTGGTAAATCATCCTTACAGATATGATAACCTGCATCCTTGACGTCTGGGTTCATACTGACAATTTATTTGTTTTTTTGAAGTATCTCTTAACTTCTATAATATTTAAATTGTAAACAAATGACGAAAAACCAAGAAATAAATGAATTTATACTCTATTACAACATTTATTTTTGTTTTATCCACTCATTAATTTGAACAACTGGAATATTTGAATTCGGGAGTTGAAATGGTAATCACCTAGCATCGGTCACTCACTACTTTAGTTTACAAAGGACAGGTTCCGGTGACTACCAGAAGGATCAATTCAGTAGTTCTTGATATCCTGGTTTATTTGGTTCCCTGAAACGTGGTAGGAGCTGAAAAACAGGAAACCTGAAAAATCACAAACTTAAGAATAGATTGATGGTAGACTAACTAAATCATCTCCCATTTTTAATTTTCGGGACTGAAGTGTGCCTACTGACGTTTGATTGCCTCTCTAGTCCTTCATCGATTATTCGAAAAGTTTTGTACGACTGCCCATCTCTGAAATCAATTGATATATATAGACATAGCTTTGAGCCACATAAGTGACTAGTGACACTCAAAAAACAATTATAAACGCAGAACCTTGCAAATATGTATATTAGTTCATATGGTGACACGATATCAGCAGTCAGCAAGACAAGTATCAGACTAGCAGTAGTAACAATGTCGATGATGATAGGAAATATTAAGCATAGACAATAAGATTAAAAATGAGCTCACCAATTAAAGCGCATATAATAATTTCAGAATTTATTATCTAAGGGATGAAAAACAGTAACTGCATCCGAATCGCTGGGACCCATTTCGACTCACCATACATTTTCGTTGTGATAAACGAGCGGACTACAATCGTGTTTGAATGAAAACATCGTTCAATACAACAGTCGGTGACTCCACAAACTAATGTGACGTTTCGGTCTGGCGGTCTCTCGATACTTTCCAAGCTACTATTGCATCAACTGATATTTCCGTCGAGGAAGGTTGTGATCAGGCATAAGCAATAAATGCTTAAACCCACTTGATCAATGAAGACACACAAACATATCAACCTGTCACATTTAACAGTTATCCTACATCTAACCTTAGTAAAACTCACTCCGTAGTCTCAATATATACCCTTAAATGCCCTGGTCCGGCAGAAGGTGCTTAGAGTCAACTATCCCTCTCGAAATGCTCTCATATGGCCACGCGTATACAACCTCTGACAAGGAAGTACTGCTCACTTCCTTCTCAAGGCAAGGGTAATGTTTACGAAATTGAGAGAACAAAAGGCGAATGTCCGACGCTCTAACCAGGTTGGTGGATACGGAGGATCCACCTAGGGGAGTTGGAAAACCATGGTTCCAAGCCAATAGTACACATGGGCTCTAGGATCATGAGCGAACAAACGGTGTATGAACCTATTGTTGGTCACCGGCTACTATGGGACTGCATCTCCCAACGTTGCTCCACTGTCTTGTGCATTGGACCTGTAGGTCAAAGGCTCGGGATGTGGCCCCTAAGGGAACCACCTGTTTCAGTTTGGGTGTTCGAGCAGTATCCCAGTCTTCACACAAGTTGAGTGACTTGTGTGGGTCATATTGATTTGGCGCCTCTTTTTACTAATATTTGTGTTCAAATAAATAGATGTCTCAGTATATGCGAGCAATCTTTCAAAAGGACCAATAGCCAAGGACCAGTAACCTAGGAATATCTTTTCTCAAAGCCATAAAATGGAACAGAACGAATTGTTGAGGCAAACCTGTCCTTTGTTTGGCAGACAGATATCTGATCTATCCCACAAGTAATTGAAGCTGGAAAAAACCAAGCAATTTTTTTCTAAATTTATGTCGAGATGCCTTCAAACAACAGACCAGCAAGTCTAGTGAGCCTTCCAAGTGGTAGCCAAAGCAACCAACTGTGATCATAAGGTTTTTCTTAAAAACTATGAACAGATGTGTGTTATCACCTAAATCAGAGTACTATTTAATCTGGAGTTAGTGAGTTGGAAGAGGGTTGAAAGTATGCTAAAAAAATTTTGTTCTCAAGACTTATTAGTATCCTCGGTAGTGAGTATAGCTATTAACAGTCCTGGTAGGATTATTTCTGTCGCTACTGCTGAAATGAATTGTGATAACTTGAATGAAAATAAATTTGTATCAAGCTTTATTTCACAACTAATATTGATCACTTCGTCAACTAGCTGCTTATTGTAAGCGGAAATGTTGTGGTCCAGTCAACGTGCTAAGTGACAGACGGCTTTTGTACTTGCTGCAGCATGTCATACACAACTAAAGAAATTAGGTCTCAAAAATTCCTTCTAAATTACAATCCACCGTGAAAGCGATGTTTGTATTGAAGTTATTTCCGAAAATCACAGCACAATACAATATTCTCATTAACAAATTCTGACTCCAATAGTTTCACCCCGTCTTTCTTTCTGATATTGCTGAAAAATCCTTGACTCAAATCCTAGGAAACAACATGAGTCTACAAACCGACTGATACAACACGAGTCTTGTTGTTAAAATCACATTTTCTCATAACAAAACAAGCTTAGTAAAACTCAGGACAAGCGCGTTACTTTAATGCACATACATGTTTAAAAAGGCTAGTGATAACAACTTACCTTACTACCAGTTGTGTAACCCTGACCATGATCATATGAGGAGCCTTTATTTACACTACAATTCCGAGACTCAACATTGACTGAACTGGGATATGCAGCAGGACTGTCCATTTTTGTCAGTTGCCTGGAATTCAAGACTGTGGGCGAACATATTCGGCCATCGAGATGGACATCGGATTGCTTATATCTTTTTGAGATAATATTTGGAGAAAGCTGGTTAGTGGTCATCAGACTGTTTTCTGAAGGAACTGACGCTTTGCATGATTCATAAACTGAACCATTGATAGGTTTTTCAGAGGCGCAGGACAAGGATTTGGGTGGCTGTTCGAGCAAATCCCCTATGGAAGCACGGATAGCATCCACTAATTGATACAATGTAGATTTTTCTAAAGTAAAGAGAAAGAATAACAATTAGTGTTCACACCCATTGAGCTCACTCATGGTTTGAACTGTTAAGTATCTATGTACTAGGATTATTGTGAATAAAAATACAAAACCAAAGTCCTGTAAAACTCATGCTGATGAAATGAATTAGGATAACCTACATTTCCTTGGAAACTGAATTCAACTTTCGCATTATGTAAATAAGTAAAATTACTGCCCCCACAATTAAATGAATGGCATCTTAGAAGTAGAGAGACAAGCACAAGGAATAAAGGCATTAAAGTATGACTGGTACCTGGTTTCTGGCCAATTTCACGGCACGGGACTACTGCTGCTTTAGATTTGCAGTCCCTGGGACGCTGTAAGCTGAGGGTACCTGGTGAACAAAAGCTCATATTGGACTTCTGGGGAGAGAACTGTCTATTAGGCGGGAATTTTGTAGAGCTCCCATCTGACAATGGGGAGCTATTTGGAGATATTTCCATATCATCTGTTGTGAAGGTCCTGGGTGGGAGATGATTTAGCTTTGTTTTCCTTAATGGATCGTACCGACAATCATGAGCCACAGGACGGCTAACTAATCGGAAAGCCATGTTAGCACAAATAGCAACAAACCATGGTTTTTTCCGTCATTGTGGGAAATTCCTGTGGTATGACCTACATCAGCGGTATGGCTACAAACAAATAAAAATAATATATTATTACTTGGATATATTAGTGCCAAGATGTGATGAACCTGGACGCCGAATCTCCGCATTAACCGAATACTTTGTGCGTTTTAATTCATTAGATAGATGTGGGCGCTCATCTTTAATTGTACCAGGTTCACTTTCGGAGATACTATGTGATCTTTTCAGATTGTTTTCTAAAATAAGTGAGGCACATGTTGAAAGATACCTTCAGTGTGTTTACGCTCACTGAGCAACTTAAGTAGGTCTCTCCTGTTCATTTCAGGTAAATCCCACTCAGGAGGCTTTTGCCATTGAGAAACTTCAGTCATGCAGTTGTAAAAGTATATCTTGCCTTTGGAGCTTAACTGCTCTGACCAGTACCCACAAGTTCTGATTGCACTTTTCTGCCACTATAAGTATAGTCAAATGGAAAGTACAACAAACTTGCCTCCGGTTTCCCATGCACACTGCGTTCTTTCTTTGTTTGATGGTTAACAGAGTTTGACGAGCGGTTGGAATGATCCATGAAGACTAACAAAATAGTAATATAATCATCAAGCGAGCTACCTTCCATGTGTTCCTCACTACTGCTACAAGTAATTAACGTGTGGATAGCAAGTCACAAAGGAGAAGCCTTCGGCCGATCCTGACAACGCACATATACTAGCTACGTTTAGGAAAAATACTAAGAGCCCGCCAAAACAGTTGTAGTCGCGGCAAAAGAGCCGGCTAGCCATATTGTCAACCAGGTGAACATTTGACTCAATAAAACAAATACACAAATTTATTAACCTTAATTTTAATCATTTGGTATATGTCTAGTCGTGCTTGATATCTTAGGCAAAGATTTTCATTGACATGATAGCGGAATAAGTTGAAGCAGCAATTAACACGACTTCGTATTGCGTATCAATGAATCTTCTGAGCACCCAACACCAGAATAAAAATGCGTAGTGATAAGCAACCCCCTTAAATAAATAGTTCCATGAGTCTCAGGTATTGATGATGACCTCATTAGTTCTACTGGACACATCCTAGCTGAAGGTGGTCAGTTCCGGAGTCGCCATTAGATACCCCATGCTATGCAGCCGTCGCAAAAACTAGTCACTTATATCATGCACTTTTAGAAATATTGACTATCTTCCATATATATCATAGAACCCCTTCATTCCTGACTTTCGATTTGACCAGGTTGGCATCTTTCGATTACGAGTGTATTACGGAAAGCATTATTGTCAGGCCATGAAATCCATAACAACTTTAGTCGCCGCAAACCGCGCCTCAAAACTGTGAAGTTCAAACGTTCTTGAGCAGAAAAAATTTCATCAGTATTTCCACGGGATTCTCTTGAGGCTACCTGTTATTTTAATAAAAAGGGATGTCCTACTCTCACTTGATGAGTTTGTAGTGACTCACATTTATCACGAGAACACGACTGGTTTAATAAAAACAATTATTATTATAACCAACTGTACCGGTGCTTGTTTTAATGTGCTTTTGTTTGATTGTGCTAATGACAGCTATATTGTGCTTCTATTCTTATTCTTACACTTTTGATTGTGACTTCGCGCGGATTCGGTTACGTTCTGTAACCAAGCTTCTATCCTGGCACGATCTCGGTATCCTTTCGATACCACGAGATCGCCAGCAAATATATTTCGATTTGGCCCATTAACTGCCTTCTGATATTTGGCTTCTCGGGGATTTTATGGATCTATTTGGTTACGTTCAACCTTCGCCTTCTGATTAACTTGGCACGGGTTTCTCTGTAGCGGTGTTCATAGTTAATCCCAACTCGACGCCACGCCACAAGTTGAAGACAGATCATAACATTTGTTAACGTGGTCAAGGATAAGCTTCTGTAGTAACGCTGATAATCATTATCGGCACGGAAGTTGATGAGCTTGTTTTCAAACGATCGGCAGAAAGGTTTTTTCATTGTTTTCTCGCAGGGCGAGTAACAGGAACTGTACACGCTTAACATACGAAATTCAACAATTATTTCCCTAGGACTTTTGTGACCAATTTTTCAAGCTATAACCCATCAGCTGCAGTTACGTATTGGAATGTGTTACTTGTCCGTCTGGACGAAAACCAATTCAAACATTGTACCTTAATATTATTGTTATATTACGAATATGTTTTGTTACTGCACAGACCTCTAGTTTGCTTCTTGATCTCAAGCTATGTATAGTTGGTTTCTTAACACAGACACATATTTAGTACCTTTACTTCTTACTCATCCCAAAAGAGTGATGTCTTTCTCATATGAGAGTGCGCGCTAATCAAAAGGATAGTGGTATTTTTCCTCGCTAAGTAAATCCTATTGTTTTGATCGTTTATTACATATCAAGACTACTGTTTTCACTTTAATTGAATTTATTTCAGGTAAAGTACTCGACTAGAATATCATTACTGTTTCTAAATTAGTTTTTCGTTGGTACTTTTGATTACTTCGTTTTCTGTTCTATTTGTTAGTACTTGGTTCTTGGTACTTGGTTCTAACAATCTACAGTTTTCCACTTTTTTTGGTCATAGATCATTTTTGTTTCAAAGTATTATTGCATCTACATCTTTTTTTAAAAAATGACCTGTCTGATCATTGGACAGTGCAAAGAAAGCAGTTGCCAACGTCCAGCCTGTCATATTCAAGTGCCTTGCCGCTCTTCTGTTGCTCTTTTTTCTCCAGAAATTTGCTCTGAGAGCACGGCTACGAAACTTCTGACGTCTGGAACGAACTTGACGTACGCGTCTCCCCAAGGTCACGGTTTACAGCAAGAGCTCTACGAGTATACTTTATAACAACTATAAACTTATTAAGTTGGAAAGCATTTTGTGAACCAACAAATTTTGTAATTTATAGATCATGCCTGTAAAAATGGCGTGTACCTGCACACGCAGAAATATATTATTATCCCGTTGAAAGTAGCATGCAGTGGGATGATTGAAAAGGCTGGTACCACGAATTTTGCATTAATTTAACGCCTGCGGCTTTCAAACGGTTCAGTAAAAACTGTTGCGTATGGCTTTGTCAACAGTGCTGTTCGGATGCAAACAGCTTGCTAACCGAGGCCGTCTCATTGGTAAGTGCTGCAAAAAAATGTTTTGGCAAGCGTGGTCGATACACATCGAACAGTACTCGCTCTGTTGGTATGAAGCAAACTCAGGTGAGTTTGAAAACAGGTGATTCACCCCGACCATAGGAGTAAAAACAGTCTTCAAAGAGGTCTGTCTCAATCAAAAACTCAAGAAAAGAAGTTTCTCCAGTCGCCAGTCTTCTAAATGGTATCCAGAAGGTAACACCTAGAAGCCGCAAGCGCAAGGCTCGATCGGTTTTTAGCGGGAAACATAACCTGGCCTCTCAAATCGTCGACAGCCTCCGGAATCCCACGGTATGTTTGACGCAACTGTAGTTGCCTCTCATAGCAACGTTGACGAATGGGTACAGGTTGTAAGGAAGAAACAACATGACGATATAAAAGGGAATCCTGCCCCCGTAAAAGTAGTAGAGAAATCAAAGGCTAATCACAGTGACAGATCAGTTATTTTTCATAGAATCAAGGAGAGTGAAAGCTCTGAACCAAAAACTCGTTTTGAGCATAGCATTGTGCTGATAAAACAGCTACTTAATCAACTCATGCCTCAAAATATCCACGGAGTCACCTTGCTAAGGGTGTACAGACTAGGTAGTCTAGCGATCCTGAAGCCTAATCGATCCAGACTGTTTAAAGTAGTATTCAAACATTCGGATGAACGCGACCTAATTTTAAAGAATGGACATAAATTAAAGGTTCAGGAGTTTTTATCCGTAAAGAATTGCCGTTGGCAGACCGCGTATAAAGACGGGAAGCCGAAAAAGAACTACAACTTAGGTTAGACGCTGGCGAAAAGGACCTGAAAATTGTAAATTTTCGGGTTGTAAGGTTTCGACAGAAAATGATACCGAAGCCACTCTGGGTGAAGCACGAAGCCACTTAAATGGGCTTCTGATCTGCTTCACTAATGCCCGGAGCTTACTTAATAAGCGGTCGGAACTAGGTGTACAGATTGACTCTACAAAGCCAGGCATAATTTCAGTCACAGAAACCTGGCTGACACAGGCTATAGATAGTATGGAACTTGATTTCGAGGGTCTTACGTTAGTAAGGGCCGACAGAATACAAAAGCGTAAAGGATGGGGAGTGGCTCTATTCGTTAGGAATGCTACCCCATTTGCCATTATCGACAGTGTATCCCATGAGAGTGGGACGTGTGAATTAGTTAGTTGCCGCTTGAAATGCAAGGGACAAGAGCTGCTGATTGGCTTGGTCTATCGCAGTCCAAGCTGTGAGGTAAATGAAGTCCTGCTAAGCAGTCTCAATACTTGGTCACAAAGTGGTCGATGTCTAGTCCTAGGGGACTTTAATGCACCTATGGTAGACTGGGAAAATCTGCTAACTCAATCGTCAGAAAATTCCTTCGAGCAGGAACTAGTTGATGTGGTTATCACATGTGACCTAGTGCAATATGTGAAAGAAGCGACTAGGTACAACCCGGACACTGAATCATCCTTACTAGATCTTATATTGACTCACCATGAGGATGACGTTGCGAACCTCCATTATATGCCACCCCTAGGTAAAAGTGATCACGCAGTTTTAACTTTCGACTTCATATAGCTGTCAAACACGAGAACGCGTTAGCTTAATCCAGACCTAACGTCTGGAAAGCAAACATACCAGATATCATGCACTCAGCATCGTTAGTAGATTGGACGATAGACCTAGAGTCATCAACTGAAACGGCTTGGGGCGCATTTCAAAATTTATACTTAAAAGTTACCCCACCCCACATCCCTCGGACTACTCCAAAGGGGCCGAGAAACTCTCCACCGTGGTTCAGTAGGGAAATCCGCATCCTTCTGCGTTAGAGAAGAAAGATCTGAGATAGATTTAGGTTACTTGGGACTGACGAGACAAAATCTCAGTATCGAAAGGCTCGGGATACCTGTGCCTTGACCCTCCGTAAGTCTAGAAAGTTGTACGAAGAGAAAATTGTTAAGGAATCCATAGAATGTCCCAAACGCTTGTATTCTTATGTAAACCAAAGGACAAAAAGAAGAGGAAACATTCCTGCACTATGGGGAGACAGTACTGCTTCATCATTAGTGGAGGACGACTTTGGTAAGGCTCAAGTGTTCTCAAACTACTTTAGCAATGTATATACCATAGAAGCACCCTTCCCGTCAGCGTATACAGATCCCCCATACATACGCTGGATAGCGTGACCATTAAAGAACTCGATGTCTTTGGTTTCCTTAATAAGCTTGACATAGGCAAATCCACGGCGCCCGATGAATTACATCCTAAGCTACTGAAGGAATTATCTAACTTCGTTGCGAACCCTTTAAGTATATGCTTTAATCTATTCGTAACGCAGGGGTCGTTTACCAAAAGACTGGAAAAACGCCATAGTAAGTCCTATCTTCAAATTAGGTACGAAACATAAACCTGATAATTACCGCCCCTTAGCCTAACTAGTGTGGTTGCTAAAATCTTAGAAAAGATTATTCGGAAGGAGCTGTTTAAGTACCTCGATGAAAACCGGATCCTTTAGGAGAAGCACCACGGTTTCAGAATAGGTTATTCTTGTCTCACTAACTTATTAGTGGCTCGTGAAAGCTGGTGTGCTCTTAAGGACCGAAAGCTACCTGTAGACGTCGCCTTCATTGATTTCAGT